TGGGAGGGGTGTGGCCAGCGCTCCCGGCTTTTCTGGACAAGCAGCAGGGCCTTCCAACAGCGGGGGCTCCTCGTTGAGTCTTCGGGGCTTGCACTCATGTCTGGGCTGAGAGGGCGGCCCTGGGGATGGGGCAGTGCTGCGGGGTGCTGGCGGCCCGTCCGGCCCCCACAGGTGAGCTCTGCAGCCGTCTGCAATGGCTGGTCCTTTCGGTCTCCCAGGGGTCATTGGGGGCTCAGGGGGGATTTCTCCAGCTCTGTTAGGAAACTGTAGCCTTGTTCTTTAGCTTGACGGCAGTTTTCATCAAATCAATACCTTTACACCGTCTGACCCATCCAGACGTCACCATAAGTGCTCATGGTGTCGATGTAACAGTGGGTGGCCATGGTGGCCTCAGGGAGATGCATCCCACCCACTGCAGAGACCGGACTGGCCACAGCCCCACATGGCTCCTCACCCACGCCCAAACTCTGAGGCCTTGCCCATGTCCTGCAGGCCTCATGGGCGACAGCCCCGCGGGCGCCCCGGCCAGCGCAGGTCCCGGGTGAGCATGTCGAGGTGACCCAGGTGGGGCCTCCGCTGACTGAGGCTGGGGCCAGGTCCACTGCACCCAGGACAGGAGCAAGGCCCCAAGTGACCAAGAAGGACTGCCACGAAGCTGGGTGCTAGACCCGGCTATGGACGCTGCACGCCAGTGGCCCGCAGGCGAGGGCGCCTCGGAGGGCCAGTGCAGCCCGGGTTCCTTGCCGTCACTGTGGCCCTGCCGTGCCGGGAGGGCCTCTCTGTGAACACAGCGTCTCAGCCTGCTCTGGAGCATGTGCTCGCTCGCATGTTGGAAGCGAGACTTTGCACTGTGGGTGAAAAGGTGCTTGTGTCACGAAGTTAGGGACGCAGAGGCAGGCCTTCTCCCCCACCCCCACGGTGCCGGGCCCTGCTGGCTTGTGGCTGAAGCACGTCAGGGGAGCGTGGGAAGCAGGTGAGACCCCTGACGGGAGACGGGCGTCTTGGGGGCAGCCTCGGAGGGATCTCAGGTGCTGGAGAGGGTGCTGGCAGCCCAGGCCCAGTGGCCAATTCTCTGTGGGCCCTGTGCCATGTGGGCTGCGGTGGCGGATGGAGGCAGGCCTGGCCGCCCTGTCCACGTCCACACATGACCAGGCTGGGCCCAGGCGGCATCCCTGGGGGCAGCCCTCGTGCCCATCTGCTGGGCAGACGCCTCGGGAGGGCGGGGCCGGCTGGGCTGCATGACCGTGACAGGAGCCGGCCTGTGTCGGTCCCAGCAGGAGGCGGGAAGCTGGGGCTTGTCACGCCTGAGACCTTGGGCGACTGCCAGGCCCATGGGCTTTGCCCAGGCGGGGGCGGGACACCTGGCGGGATGGGGCAGTGAGACAGGTGGAGCCAGGAAGGCAGAGACCCTGTTCTGGCCCGCGGCCGCCGGGGGGTGGCAGGAGCCCCGGATGCTCTCTAGTGCTCAGAGCTGGCTGCTGGGCTCCCAGGGGAGGGGGTCCCACGGAAAAGGAAGGCAAAGGCCAGGAAGCAGCTGCCTCCGAGGCCACCCAGCAAGGGGACGGCAGCAGGGAGGAGGGACAGGCAGGTCTCGGGGCAAGGGTTGCGGATGTGGCAGCTGCCGAGGAACCAGTCGAGTGAGGGGACGGGCCGGGCCGAGTCCTGGGAGATGGCTCGGCAGGCAGGCCCCGCGGTGGGAGGGCAAGCCGGGGCTCAGTGCTCGCTCTGCCAAGGGCCTCTTCTCCCCAGTCTCACAGGCTGCCCTGAGTCCCAGAAAACGCAGCTCTGGTTCTCCCTCCCGGGAGCTGAGCCAGCAGCGCCCCCCATCCCCCGCTCTCCCGAGGGCCCCCAGGGTGACGCGGGAGCGAGAGGGTGGGTGCAGCCCGCCAGCCTCACTGCAGCCCCTGGCCACGAGACCGTGATGGCCGGGGCTTGAGTGTCGTGTATCGGTCGCCATATGTCTGCAAGCAGGGTGTGGGGGGCGCGTGGGGGGCAGGTGGGCAGATAATCACAAGAAGAGATGTGTGGTTGGAGAGCAGCTCTCAGCTGACGGGCTCTGAAGCCCTTCGCCATGACCGACACGCGGCCATGAGCCCAGCATCATCCAGGGCTGCTCGCTGCGCCCCCTCCTCGGGGTGCAGCCTGGCTCCACCACCGGCGCCTTTGCCGAGAATGAACCCGAGCCAGTGGGGGCCAGACCGTGCCCCTGCCCTGAGCAGCCGGGGCCCCTGGGACCAGGCGGCTGGGCCGGGTCGGTCAGCTCCACACACCTCACCCGGGAGCGTCCGGGCCGTGGCCGCAGCGCTCGCTTGGGCTCGAAGCGCCGCGCAGAGGGCCTTGAGGGCCTTTCCTGCTGTGGCGGACCCGGGCTGCGCTGGTGGAGGGGGAGCGGCTGGCCTGCGCCCCAGGGAGCTGGTGGACACGCGGTGACAGCGTCTGCAGAGACGGCGCGTTCGTTGGTTTCTCAGAACAATCGTTCTTTATCTCTGCGAAGACGCCTCTGCAAGCCCGGGTCAGTCTCACGAAAGAGTCAGGGCTGCCTGCCAATTCCGCCCTTAGAAATTCCAGAACAAATTCAGTTGAAGCGTTTGGGGTGTTGTCCGCAGGAACGCGCGGGAGTGGAACCCCCGTGGGGTACGCGAGCATCACTGACCTCGGGTCCTGCGGCGCGGATCTGGCAAACGCCTGTTTACAAAGCCGGGTCGGAGCCGGCGGGGTGAGGCTGCAGCAAATGGGCTGCGAGGAGCGGGCTGGACCTGCCCCGCCCTGCTGCCCCGGTGGCGACACTTCCAGGGCGGCCGAGAGGGTCCCGGCCCCGCCGCAGGCCCCAGGACCAGGCCGCGCCGGCCACCGCTCGTCCGCCCGCCGCCGTCGCGTGGGGCCGCGGGCGGCTCAGGGCAGCTCCGGGCCGTGCTCAGGGCCTCACGCTCCCGCGGAGGCCGCCGGGGGCCTCCCCTCTGCGGACACTCGCCGCCCCGCCGGGGGCTCGCCCGGGCGGGCCAGAGCGGGCAGCGCGGGGGACACGCTCCAGGGGTGGCGCCGCCCGCTGGGCCGAGGGCAGGGTCCCGGCCGCGTGCCCCCCCCCCCCCCCGGCCTGCGCGCGCCCCGGCGCCCCTCGGGCTGCGGGTCCAGAGCGCGCGGCCGGCGGCAGCGGCGGGTCCCCGGCGGCCCAGGCGCTGCTCTGGCGCCCCCTGGCGGCGGCCGCGCGCAGGCCGGACCGCTCTGCCGCCGCAGCGGCCTCGGGGCCGCCGTCCAGGTCGCGGACAGCGCCGGGGGCGCCGGCCCTCGAGCTCGCGGCTCTCTGCAGGCGCCGCCCCTCCTGTGCCGTGGCCGAGGGCAGGCCCCTGGCAGGCGGGGCCACAGCCTGACTCGAGGTCCTGCTTCCCAGGAAAGGGGTCTCGTGTCCTTGTCACCGCCCTGAGCACGCCTGCAAGGTCCTCCTGCCAGGGAGAGTGGGTGGCCATCGCCCACCCCACAGCAAGGCCACCACCCTGAGCACCCACCTCACGTGGGCGGGGGCACCCTCAGCACCCACAGACACAGCGGCCCGACCAGCACCCTCCCGGGGTCGCTGTGGCGGGGTCTCCTCAGCCCCGCTGGGGACAGCCGGGCCTGACTCGCTTAGTGGATCAGACAAGCGCTGTGCCCTGCCTCGGGAAACAGCCCCCACAACGTGGCTGCCCAGCAGAAGCACCGCGTTGCAGTGTGGACTTGATGGCACCCTGACGAACACTTGATTGAAAATGGATTTTCAGAGATAAAAGAGGGACAGTGAATTGACATGTTCTGTGTCCCCAGCCCACCCCAGTGATGCACAATAGAACAGAGGCAGGCAGCCCCGAGGGGGCCAGCAGGGCATGGGGGGCTGTGCTGCCACCCCCCGTTCTCCGCAGCAAGACCAGGCCCCAGGGCCGCCTGATGCTGGGCAGGACCAGCTCTGACACCCGGGCCCACCAGGAGGGCCAGACAGGCACAGGGACCCGCCTCGCAGCCAACACTTTTGAAGCCGAACACTACCGCGGGTCCTGAACCGGTCATGTTCAGAAAAGAACAGTGGGGACGGCCAGATGGACACTGGAGCAGACCGGCCACTCCGAGTTCTGCTCATGCTCCACCCAGGAGTTGGACGTTGGAGGGCAGGCGTTCCCAGGTTACAGCAAATTCGCCAGGGGCTACAGCTCCCTTCTGAAGCGAATGCCGGGATTCAGGAAACTGTTTCTGCAACTGTCTATGAAAACATTACACATACCTGGTTTCAAAACTTGTCAAAGTGCTACCTTTTTAGCTGCTAAATATACTTTCTCGTGAACCAGTTTTTCTTTTTGAAATCTAAACAATGTATTTTTCTTCGGGAAAATCACCTTGTTAAAATTCAGACAAGGAACTATCTTCTCGAACCAAAGTGCGGAGTCAGAGGCCCCCTCTGCTGAACGACCTGAAGGTGCAGGCCTCTTGCAGCCACCCCTCTGGCAGGGGCACGCAGGGGCACGCACTGCTTGGCAACAGCCCACTGACCGGATGCGGCCACGGGTCAGGCTGCGGGACGTGCACTGCAGACACAAGGCAACCCAGGAGGGTGCGAGGGCTCTGGGTCTGTCACAACCTCACTGGCGGTTTCCACGCGTGCCTCTGTGGTCTGAGGGCAAATTCACAGGACCACAGGATGCAAACCCCTTCCTCGGAGCCCCAGGTGTGGCCTGCATCACCTGCAGCCTCCCTGACTGCCGTGGCCTCAACTCTGTCCCACGGGGAGCCAGGGGCGTGCAGGGGGGCCCACGGACCTGGGGGGCCTGGCCTGGCCTCTGGCAGCCCCACACAAGTGGGGCTAGGTCACCCTGGTTGGGACCGTCCCCCACTGTGGGCCGTTTGGCAGCAGCTGGGTCCTACCTGCAGGGACAACCCCATCACCACTGTGCAGGCCGGAGGACACACCTGACTGGTGGGGCCGTCACTTGCCCCAGCGCCGCACGAAGGGTGCTTGGGAACCGGCACTGCCGCGGGACAAGCGGGCACACGGGAGACTGAGCACCGGGCGTTTATTACCCGTTGGCCTAAAGGCCCCGCCCTTGCCAGGGCACGCACACTGCGGAGGGATGTACGGGGACCACCCGGGGGCCCGTGACACTGGACCCGCCCAGGGGGGTGGGGAGGTAGCCACGCCACAGGTCACTCTTCTTTCCTCCTGCTGCGCCCCTCTCTCCTCTTCGCCTGTAAGCGCTTCAGGTCAGCCATGACCGCCAGTGTCTTATGCACCCACATGACCTGGAACAAGAGCAGCAGGCGCGGTGAGGGGGCAAGGGCTTGCGGGGAGGGAGCCGTGCACGACGAAGGCCGGGGAGGGTGCCGGGGGCTGGGCACGCACCACGATGGCCAGGGGTTGAGCAGTAGTGGCGCCGAGAACACGGTGGAGATGAACATGCCCCTGGAATCGAAGTACTGGTACTTGGAAAACAACCTGTAGGAGAGAAAACCAGGGTCCACCAGCTGATATCTCAGAGCCCTCCCCATACTGGCTGGCCATGCTAATGGTCCGGGGCCTGCCAAGGTCTCCCATCAGCCTGTGTTCCTGGGTGTGGCCCGGGAGAGACCTGGGGTAGTAGGAATGCACGGACCCTGGCGCATGCACTTCTGGCTCCCGCGGACACTGACCATGGACAAGTGGCCCTGCAGGTCTGCCCAGGTGGGCCCGGGTCACTCCAGGGGCATGGGGAGGCCCATGCTCAGCCCCACTCACAGGGCCCTAGGGCAATGGCCTCATGGGGCTGGCTCAGGGACAGTGAGTCCACGTAAGGGACAACTGCACCAGCGACACACGGCAGGGCCCACCCTATCGCCAGGTTCCTTATACCTCCAGTTCATGGCCGCCACCTCGTTGATGTACTCAGCACAATAGACCAGGATCACTGGGAGAGACAGAGACTGTTAGAAATCAGGTGACTGGCCCGCGGTCTTTCTAGAATAAAACTGCACTGTGTTTACCCGGGAACGCTGATACAAATATGGTGGACGGGCTCCCGAGAGCATCGCTGGATCAGCGCCCTCCAGCGCCCCAGGGGCCCAAGCAGCCCCGGGCTGCAGGCTGTCCGCAGCACTGTGGCCTTCAGCCTCTCCTCCCTCTGCACTGCCCAGGCCCCTGCACGTGGCTGTCCGGCCGTGGAGGCGCCTGGGCTGGCAGGTAAGGAGTGGCCACAGGCTGGGGGCATCAGCACATCCTCAGCGCACACAGTAAGGGCAGCCCCTGCCAGCGGGCAGCCTCCTGGTCTCCTCGCTGCACACACGTGCCACTGCAGGCCACAGCTCCCCGCCAGCGTGGCCTTTCCCAACCTCCCCAGGGGCTCCGAATCCTAAGCCCGGCCGTGGAAGGACCGGTTCTGCACAGCATCCTCTCCCGTCTGCACTCCCGCCAGGCCTCAGAGGAAAGCAACTTGTCTGTGAAGCTCCTTCCTGGGTCACAGCAGGGCCCAAGGTGCACCCAGATCGGTACCCCAGCCACTCTCATCGGTACCCCAGCCACTCTCGTCATAGCTGCCAAGTGTGGGAGGTGGGCAGGAAAGTGAAGGCAGCACGGGGGCCGGAAGGCAGGCGGGCTCACAGACACGTCTACTGCCGAGGGCGCCTGGTTGCAGAGGGGGCACTCCACTCACCAAGACACAGGAAGTGCCCGACCTGCAGTTTATACCTCTGGGAGGAGAGCCAGGTGAGTAGCAGGCAGAGCAGGTGGAAGGCAGCCAGTCCCAAGAGCCACGGCTCAGTCCAGTCCGTCTGCTGCAGGACACAAGATGCAGGTCAGGACCCACGCTTCAGCCCACACGATTCCTACCTTCCAGGCCAGGGGTTGAGACCCTGCACCACTGAGGCTTCCAAGTGGGTGCGGGGCATAGGCCCCTCCCTATGACATGCCCCGGCGCTGCAGGGGCTAAGTAAGACCTTGAGAGCTCTGCTTACACACACAGGGTGCTGCAGACGCGCCTCCTGAGCCCTGCCCAGGGCGATGAGAAGTCAGGCCCCTCTGCGGTTACTCCAGAGTCCCCCAGAAGTGAGGTGAGAACCTGTTTCCAGCTCTCTCTCTCTCTTTTAAGATTTTATTTTTATTTATTCATTTATTTATTTTTGTGTAGAAGAGCTGGGTGCAGCTCTTTGCATAGAAGGCCAAAGGGGCCTTGGGGGAGGGGGTGGGAGGACCCCTTGGGGGGTGGGGGGAGGACTCCCCAGAGAGAGCAGGGAGCAGAACAGGTGGATCGGCTGAAACCCACTGCTGAGGGGAGCAGCGGGGAGACAGGGAGGTCTGCTGCGCCCTGTGGGCAGCTCCCTGGCCGGAGATGGACTCGGTCCGCAGCGGTGAGAGCCTGAGACTCAAGCCCTGGGCCACCAGGGGGCCGTTTCCAGCTCTTTAGGGTGGAACTTGTGGCCTTGGAAATCTGAGTGACCTCAACCTGCAAGAACTGACTTCCCCGAGTTTCCGCCCGACCCCCACACGGTGCTGTACTCGCTACCTTATGGCCGCACACCTGCGCCCCAAGCGCTGACCCCCCTTGCACACACCCCAGCCAATCTCCCCACCGGCGACCCCATGCCTAGACCCCGCCCTGCCCTGCCCGGCAGGACTCGAGTGTCCACCCCGCTGGGTACAGGCCCCGGCCTGGGGGGGGCTGCAGCCGGCCACCCCGCCCACCCTCAGGCGCGCGCGGCGCAGCCGGCCCGTCCTCGGCCCCGCCCGCTTCCTCGGCCGCGCCCGCAGCCCCGCCCCGCCCCCGGGCTTCCGCGTCCCCGGCGCCCCGCCCCCCGGGCTTCCGCGTCCCCGGCGCCCCGCCCCCCGGGCTTCCGCGTCCCGGCGCCCCGCCCCCCGCCCCGGGCTTCCGCGTCCCGACGCCCCGCCCCCGGGCTTCCGCGTCCCCGACGCCCCGCCCCCCGGCTTCCGCGTCCCGACGCCCCGCCCCCGCCCCGGCCCCGGGCTTCCGCGTCCCCGGCGCCCGCCCCGCCCCGGGCTTCCGCGTCCTCGGCGCCCCGCCCCGCCTGCCCCGGGCTTCCGCGTCCCCGGCGCCCCGCCCCCCGCCCCGCCCCCGGGCTTCCGCGTCCTCTCGGCGCCCCGCCCCGCCCCGCCCCCGGGCTTCCGCGTCCTCTCGGCGCCCCGCCCCGCCCCCGGGCTTCCGCGTCCCCGGCGGGGCGGCAGCGCTGTGGGTTTTGCGCGCGCGTCGCCGCGGCCGAGTCGGCGGCCCCGCGGCAGTTACCGTGATCACGGCGGGGATGCTGACGGGGAAGGAGCGGGCCGAGAAGGCGGACGGCATCTTCCCGCAGGACCCGCCCCGCCGCCGGCTGCCTCGCCGCGCCCCAGGCCTCTCGCGCGGCCGCTGCTCTCGCGAGACCCGCCCCTTCTCGCGAGGCGCCGCCGCCGGCGGCGCGACGTCACCGCCAGGGGCCGCCCGCGCCCGCTCCTCGCGTCGGGCAGGCCGCGGGGCGCTGCAGGGCTGGGCGGGCGGGCGCTCGCGGGGCCCGCGCTGTGGGACGGGGACGTGGCCTTCCCGATCGTGGGCGTGTTCCGGTCGCTTCCCTCGGCTGAGCGCGGCGTCTGCCGCGCGTTGCCCCAGGTCACGGGCACAGCGCCCACGCCCGCGCGCCGAGACCGCGCGGGGCGCCCCTTCCCGTGGCCGTGCCGCCCACACTCGCCTCACCGGCGTGTTTCGAGTCCTTGACCCTGGTCCTTTGTCCCGCGCCCCTGCGCGTCCGAGGTTACCTCGCGCGCCCGTCCCCGCGGGCCCTGGCGGCCTTTCCCGCAGCCCATCACGTCTGCGCTCGCGGTGGAATCCCGATGGTTTGTGTCAAACAGTGTGTCCCGTGCGTCTTAAAATACCTACGCAGACGCGAGCTGGGGTGCAGGCCAGAGGGCTGCGAGGACTCCCCAGAGAAGTGAGGGGCCAGGCAGGCTGACTGAAGCACACCGCTGAGGGACAGCGGGGGGCAGGAGGGTCTCCTGCGCCCTGTGGGCAGCTCCCCGGCGGGGATCGGGCTCTGCAGCTGCGGCTGCGGCCAGCCTCGTGGTTGAGACTGACCCCTGCGCCCCCAGGGAGGCCCTGCTTTCTGCTCTGTTCGCGAACTTGCTTTCCACTGAGGAGGGTAAGCGGATCTGGGGTTTTGAAATAGGGGCAATCGGATGGATCCGCCGCCCACCTGCCCGGGCTCTGAGACAAGAGCTGCCAAAAGGCCCGACACCCACCCGAGGGCCGCGGCCGCACAGCACCCACGGGAGGGCCTGCGCCGGCGACAGAGGCCAGGCCGGGGACAGCCGCCGCCCGCCGACTGCAGGGCCCGGCCCGGGGCGGCCGCCGGGTCCCCCTCCCGGGCGGGGGCGGGCGCTCGCGGGGCCTCGCCAAGCCGCCTCCGCGGGGAGCGTCGCTGACGGCTGCCGCGGGCCCCGAGGCGGGTCGGGGACGCCCGTGTCACGGCTGCAGGGAGAGGCCGCGCGACGCCGCACCGGCCGCTCCAGGGCGCCAGGCTGGGCCTCTGGCTCCCCTGAGGTGACTTCTGAGGCAGAACGAGGCCCCGCCCCGCAGAGTCCTTGGCCGCCTCCCCTCCTCCGGCGGCAGCTGTCCGGCGCGGCGCTCCCTCTCTCTTAAGAGGCTGGACCCGTCCGCTGCTTTTCAAGGGCCGGTGTCCTCTCTGCCTTTGGCACCTTCCGCCCTGGCTTATATCCTCCCTCAGGGTGCCCGCCCCCACGTCTGATTGGACCACTTTTCAATCCTGTGGCTGATTGGACCGTTTACCCATCAGCCCATAGCTCCTGATTGGTCCATTCCACAATCCAGGAAGTGCGCCTCACATAAAAGGGCTCTGAGGAGCCACTGCCACCACTGACTTGTGGGAGGCGGGTCCTGGTAACAAAAGTCTGATTGGGCCATTTAGCACCAATCAGCTCATGGCTCACAGCTGATTGGTCCACGCCATGATCCAGGAAGTCCACAGTTGCCTAAAAGGGCTCTGAGGCGCAACTGCCACCACTGATAAAAAGGCTTATGGTGGAGGCCCAGGGAGAGAGAACAGCACTGCTGTTCATCTAGTTTAAATCTGCTCTGGCATCAATGAGCACATCAATTTGGAATTCTGACGGACATTAGGATTGGATCTGCCCTGGTGCCAGGCCCAACTTTCTAATTGGTTACCATGTTCCATGTTGAAAATCTAAAACACATTGACCCGAATTTTTAAAGTTTCTTTGTATTTGGCATTTTCATTTTTAAATCTCACAGAAGTGAAGGGTCAGAAATTTGAGTTTGAGGTGTAATGTGAGAGGGGTGATAACGTGAGGCCCAGAGCAGGTGAGCAAGAGGGGAGCCCTCAAGATGGGACTCCTCTCACCCACCGCCTACCTCACCCCCATCTCCTGCCCGAATCAGGAAACCCCTCTGGGGCCGCCGTTAGGAAGCAATGCTCTTGAAGGCCACTCCCCACCCCCACCCCCAGTCTTCAGCAGCCCAAGGTGCAGGGGTGGGCTCCTTCATGGTTGGGGAGACACCCCAGGCTTGGCCCCAGCTCCCCAGCTCCCCACGGCTGCAGACGGCCTTTGGCCTCCCTCCCCTTCAGAAATGCCTCCCACAGCCTGTTCCTCCTGTGAGTCTGATGTGTCCACCGTCGCCTATAAGTAAGGCCTGTTGGGTCAGGGTCACCCTACTGCCGTGTGGCCTCCACTAATTTCATCTTCTAACACCCCACTCCCAAATAAAGGCACTTTCTGAGGTCTGGGACCTGGACTTCAGAAGGTGGACTCTCTATCACTTATGTGTGAACCCCATGACTGCAGGAGCTTTGATGCATCTGTCCTCTGTAGTGGATGCTGGGCAGGCACTGATGAGTCAGTGGACGCAGGAAGGATGGCTTCCTGTTGAACGAGTGGCAGAACAGGCTTCAGCTCCGCTAGTCCCAGGGCTTCAGCACCAGGGACAGCGCCCGCCCTGCCCGCAGCCCTGCAGGGCCCCCTCCCACCTGCCCTCTGCTGAGGCACAGGCCCTGGTCTAGGCAACAAGCAGCCCTGGATGCCTCCCCAGGATGCTCTGCCTATGCGATTCTGATTTTCTCTGGGGAAAGTTCTGACCTCATTTCCAGCTTCACCTTCAGGGCAGTAGATGTGGCTCCGTCATTTAAAAATTAAGATCATTTTCCATGCAGAAAATCTGAATTCTCTTAAATTTTCCTTGTCATAGTTTTTAGCTGAGGTCTTCCCTGCCTCCCTGCTGCATTTCACCTCTTCCTCACATGGATAGACGGGATTGGGAAGGTAAGAGAAAATGCAAGTGTTTGTGTTGATTTCACTTGTTTCCACAGGAAAACCACACTTTTCCTTTCTCCCCTGGGCTCAAGGTGTGACTTGGACTGAATGAGAACCCTCCCACACACACCCCCACCCAGTGTCCATTGAGCCGGCTCCCCCAGGACGGAGCCACATCTACTGCCCTGGAGTGGGCAACGGAGCGTGGCCGGGACAGGATGTCTGCCCTCTAGTGGGCACTGGAGCATGGGCGGGACAGGACGTCCGCCCTGGAGTGGGCGCTGGAGCATGGCTGGGCTGGGTGGCTGGGCCAGGGCAAGGCTGAGGCTCACATTGGAGGAGGTGGCCGCAGAGGTGCTCCATCCCGCCAGCTCCTGGAGGCTGAGGAGAGAAGGTGGGTCACCCACTTCTGACTGCGTTTCCCAAGGGGAGCCGGGCTGAAGGCTGTCCAGGGTGCTGGGGCAGCGTGGCCAGCACACTGGCCTGGTGGTGCCCTCCCAGCAAGGACAGACATGACATGGTCACAGGGCCCTGCCCGGTGGCCACTGCTGAGCCTCTGTCCCCCTCACAGCTGAGTAGCCCTGAGTAGCTGAGATGAGAGGGGGCGGCACGGGCAGAGTCTGCTGTGTCAGCTCTAACTCAGGGCTGTTTTGTGAGCAGAGAAAATAACTGGTTGACAAACCGCCACACGCAGGGGGAGCTTCACTTCCCACAGGCGCAAGTCGCATTCCCACCATCCTCTCCGTGGGCCTGTTATGGGACTGGGTTTATTTCCGACCCTGTGTTGATGAATGGAGGTGGCAGTGCCGGACCAGCTGGGGGCCATGACGCCAGCGGGAGGGCCTGCCATCCAGTAGCCGGCCTAGGAGCCATGGGAGGTGCAGGGGTCTGGGGTGGCGCACTCCTTGGCCTGGAGGCACTCCTTGGCAGCTGGGGGCACGTCCCCATATGGGGCCGCCTGATGCTGCCCTCTGTCCCCCAGGATGCGGGTGCCGGTGGCCCTGGCGATCGTGCTGGCTGTCGCCGGAGTCCTCAGCTGCTTCTCGTCCTCCTGGACAGGTCGGGGCCTCCACTGGGGTAAGTGGCCTCGTGTCTTGTCCACGCACAGCGAGCCTGTGGCCACCACAGCAGGGGCAAGCCCCACGGGTGTGTTCTGTTACCATTTACAAGAAAAGGATAATTCTTGAGTTCAGAGGGTGAAAATACAACTCTCTCTGGAAAGAACTGAACTTTCTCTGCTCACACACTACAACATTCTGATTTCACTTGCTCATATTTATGAAGGCAAATTTTAGGGAGAACGTTTGCTTCGTCTTTTACTACAAAACCATTTCATGGTAACTTCTGTGATGTGTTTTCTGGAGTTGGGGTCACAGATTCAGGTGAGAAAGTCACATACGCATGTTGGAGTGATGGTGCACTGCTCCTGTGCTGGTAAGATAGCACTCCGACATCCCGGGCTTTACTGAAGCCGAAGTGGACACCTCCCGGGGTCACGGCCTCCCAGGGTCACACTGGGGTGGGAGCAGGCAGGAGTGTGAGCAGACAGGACCCCCACAGTGACCGTGGGGAGCCCCGTCGTCCTGAGGACATGCCAGAGGGGCCCAACATCCCCACAAACTCCTAGCCCTGACCAAACACGCTCGCTCCCACTGGCCCATGAGCTGCACTGCCCTGGAGCCTGGTGCAGGACACTACTTCCCTCCCCCTCTGGCAAGTGGAGACACCGGGAGAGTGTGCAGGTGGCACAAGTGACACGATTTAAAGCCGGTTGGGCCGGGCCTGGTCACTCACAGATGCGGCACCTGTCTGCATAGGCAGGAGCCAGTCACTCCACCCAAGAAGGTCAGCAGCCTGTAGGGCCACTCTCCCCTCCCCTGTGACCACAGGAGGTGACCTCCCAGAGGGCACCCCCAGGGCTCGGGTGGTGGCAGGGCCTCTGGGCTAGAGGCTGGGTGGCTGACACTCTGGAAGTCAGTTTGCAGACCTGAAGGAGGGGCTGGTTTGAAAGCACCAGGGTCCCTGGCCTCTGCACTGGCTTGTGGCTGCCCCCCCATCCCCCCACAGCCACCTGGGGGCATTTGCAGATAAGGACAGAGGAGCCAGGCTGAGGGGGGGGGCACGCCATAGGGGGTCCTGGCCTCCTCGGAGGCTGGGGGAGCAGCCGAGGGGGTGGAGGTGGCGGCTGGCCCAGGCCCCACAGCCACCTGCACAGCCCATGAGCCTCTCCACGTGGGCTGCGCCGACAGCACAGAGTGGCTGGACGCCGCGGCAGCCTGTGTCCACTTCGTTCTGCAGGGAGCACAGACGAATCGCAGGTGGCCCGCATCGTGGAGGAGAGCAGGCTGCTTGTGGACAGTGCCATCCACAGGACCATGCAGAGGTAGGGGCAGTGGACTCTGGGGCGGGTGGGGAGGCTCCGGTCTCGTCTCTGAGACGCGCCTCAGGCCATCTCTGCTGGGGCCACATGGGCCTCCAGCAGGCTAAGCAAGAAGGTCATCAAAGGTCACACCTGGCAGTTCCTGCGCTCTGCGTGGACAGAATCTGCACATCTCCTGGTCAGCCCCAGGGTCATCTCGGGCCTATACCCACCCTGCCCCACCAGGCACCACTGGCCGCCCCGGGTCTGTAAGCACTTGCCGCAGCAGCCGGAAGACACACCTTACTCCTCTTCCCGCCACAGGAACATCCAGAGAAGGGCGGTCACATCTCCGTCCCAGCTCCTGGCCTTCGCCAAGAGCCCTGAGCCCGCAAGCTGGGCTGCCTCCCGCGTGGCAGAGATCATGCAGGCGGCGCTGCAGGCCCTGAGGGGGCGCATCCCCCGGGGCTGGGGCAGCCCGGGGCCCCCACAGGTGAGCTCCCTCCCCCCCCCCCCGCCCCACAGCCCTGCGGGGACAGAATCTACCCCTCCCGCTGGCCCGGAGGACGGGGGCAGCCTTCTACTCTGCCTGTTTTCTTTAAAGTTTTCAAATATGTCTGCTGTGCTGCTTTCATGGGGGCTGCGGGGCTCTACAACGCCGTGTGTCTGAGGGGCTCAGGCTCACACCCCTCCAGGCCAGCACCCTCCACGCAGCCCGGCCCGTGCTCCCCACCCACCACCTCCAGGCCCAGCTCCGCAGTCAGATTGCAGGCTTGTCTGGCCTGGTCTGCGTGTCCCTGTTGCCCCCGCTCGGCCCTGAGGGAGGCCACAGGCCCTGCCCCCTCCCCTGCCCACACCGGCCTCTCGCCCGCTCCAGCCAGGAGGAGACCTCACCTTCTCCCAAAAATAAATAGTCACAGAGTTTTGTTACTCTGGGAAATAGCTGTTCCTCTGCGCTTCAAAACCAGCTCGCCCCGGCGCAGCCTTTGGGTACAGTGACAGAGACGCAGCCCCAGCGCCTGGCTGACCTCTGGGCATCACCCACAAACGCAGACGGGGCCACGCACAGCCCCCACCGCTCACCGAGGTGTCGCCACCACCCTCGGGGCCTCGCTCAAGTTGGGCGTGAGGGGTGTGGGCCCAGGGCGGGCTGCAGCGGAGAGCCAGGGCGAGGCCGGCAGGCACCAGGGGTCTGCACTGCGGTGGGCCCAGGGATGCCCTCTCAGGCGAGCTGCCTAGTGTGGCGCCTCAAGACCCCGGCCTCCGAGCCCTCCGCTCGGTGCACTACCTTGATTCCAGTTACACAGCCTGAGAAAGACAGACTGGGCTGGGCCAGAGTGGTGGGTGTGCGGGCCTGAATGCACACCACCGCTTCACACAACCGGAGACGCGTCAGAAGTGAGTTTTCTTTCAGAGCCTGTGGCCACGCCACCAAAACGTGTCTGAGGATGGGTCCCGGGTCTGCTGGGGCCAGGCTCAGTGCCATGGCCTGGGCCCTGGGGGCGGTAGCACTTGGGGCCAGGCCAAGAGGCCAAATTAAGAGCCGTCCCCTAGGATGTTTCCTGTTCTTGGCAGCAGCACAGCCCGAGGGCACGTTCAGGCATCAGGAAGGCAGTGTGGCCGGTGACCCACCCCGTCCCCAGCACAGATCAGTGGCCCTTTGGGAGCCTGCTGTGTGCAGAAAGGCCGGGGCCACTGCTGTCCCTCGGGGCTGCCCGCACAGGTAGCTGGGTGTGGCCCTGCGGGCCTGAGCAAAACATTGCCCACCCGCCCGCCCAGCAGTGTCCGGCTACTCGCTCGCAGCTTTGAGATGTAAGGGCCATCTCAGGGCAGAAATGTCGCCCTGCTGAGAGACAAGAGCATCCTGCTGTGGCTGCTGAGCAGGGAGTGAGCCCCTCTTCCCAGCAGGGAGGAGCTGGCAGTCAGGAGAAAGAGGGCCTCTTCAGGAGGACGTGTCCCAGCCAGACCACTGGCCGCTGGCTCTGGCAGCCTGGCCTGGCCTGGCCTGGCCGCTGCACGTGTGACTGACGGCCCAAGCCGTGGCCTGGGGCCCCCAGCCCTCCCCGCAACCCTCGGGCGCAAGATCACAAAGCAAAACTGAGGCTAGCTACACACCCTGGAGCTCCGGACATGGGAGCTGGGCTTCCAGAAGCTTCCAGAAGGCAGAGCTTCTTGCCGCCAGCTCACACTGTGAGAAGCAAAGTAACAGTGTGTGGTTTGGGCTTTTTCCAGACACTTGGTCAGAAGATATGCTGACCATGATCGCAAATCTGTCAGGGTGCCTGCCGTACATGCGCCCCCCAAAATGCCCAGACACCTGCCTGGCAGACAAGTACCGGCTGATCACAGGGGCCTGCAACAACAGGTGAGGACCAGCCCCACCCAACCCTGGGCTCCCCACCCCTACACCCTTCTGGCGGGGAGATGGGGGGATCCCACCCCTGGTGGCCTAACTCCGTCACCTGCCTGATACCCTGGGCCCGTGTCCAGTCAGGAGCACAGGGTCTCTCTGCACATGGGCATTCCATCTCCTTCCGCTTTGCCCCAGGCAAGCTCCCGCGTGGACGCCCCTGAGCCTCCCAAGCGCCTGCTTCTCTGAGGGGCCTCTCCCCTGGGTCTGCAGCCCAGCCCCACAACCCCTGGCCTCTCACTCTGGCCCCAGGTTTTAGTGACAGGTCAGGACTAGGCCAGCACCTGCCTCTCTCCCAAGCAGGGATGCACTTCACGGAAGCACCCCACTGAGGCTGACTGGTGTCGCAGCCACGGCTCTGGGCTGAGCCTGACCGCCAGCCCTCCATCCTCTCAGCCCAGAGGGGTGGGCGGGGAGGGGTGGGGCCACACGGGACAGACACACCCTCAACGGGACCCAGGTGCGGGTCATCTGCAAGGACAGGGAGAAGGTGGGTCAGCCTCATGGTGTGCAGGGCGGCCCGCCATGGCCCCAAATGGCAGCTCTGGTCCCTGAGATTCCACACTGAGCCCCTTTCTTGGGGAGGCACAATCTTCCTATGTGACCTCAAGCTTGTCCTATGTGACCCCAAAACGTGCCAATGTGTAGTTTGAAACACTGGAAGAGCAGAGAAGCATTTTGATCTCTAAACTCCCCACTGACCCACTGGGGCTCTCCTGCCTGGGCCAGAAACCTGGTGGCTTCAGGTCAGGCCTGTGGGTGGGGGGAGGGCAGGGAGGGGCCTGGAGTGGGGGCGACAGGGTCACGGGAAATCAGGGCTGTCCCCTGACCACAGCTCGCCTGGGGGTCAGCAGGTTGGCCATTTCCCAAGAGCCGGCCGCCCACAGACAGGCAGCCGCAGAGCAGGCAGGCCAGGGGGGCTGGGCGCAGCGCGGGCTCCCACCCTCCAGGGTCAGCGGCCACCCTGGGCCCTTGAAGGAGTGGAGACCCCGCGCCCTGCCTGCGCAGCTGGTGCAGCTGCCGCGGGCTTGGTGGTGTCCGGAGCCGGGGGCAGTGGAAGGCAGGCCCACGAGGCTGGAGGGCCACAGGCCACAGGAGGCCTCTGGGCACCGCAGGCTGCGCGCCCCGCGGGAGACCCCACCCTAAGCGAGGCCGAGGGAGCCCCGCGTGCAGCCCGCCCCTCCTCCCGCCTCACGCGGCGCTCCTCCCGCCCAGAGCCCACCCCAGGTGGGGAGCCGCCAACACCGCCCTGGCCAGGTGGCTTCCTCCCGCCTACGAGGACGCCGTCGGCGAGCCCCGAGGCTGGAACCCCGGCTTCCTGCACAACGGCTTCCCGCTGCCCCCGGTCAGCACCTCGCAGCGCAGCCACTGGAGTTGGGCCCTGTGCCGACGCAGCCGGCCCCGGCGGGCACTGGCCCCGGCTCAGAGGCCTCGGTCCCACCCTCGGGGCTGATTCTGTCCCCTGGGGGAGGCTGCGCCCCTGGACCCGGGTACCACCCCCTGGGCCTTGGCCCCGCCCCTGAGCCCGGCCCCGCCCCGAGCCCGCCCCCCCGCCCGAGCCCCCGCCCGCCCCGAGCCCGCCCCGCCCCAGCCCGGCCCCGCCCCCGAGCCCGCCCCCGAGCCCCCCGCCCCCTCCGCCATGGCCTACCTGGTACTAAACTGATGTTTTCTGAGTGTCTCCATTTAGTTCACACTGTAGCTCTGAAAAATCACCTTCAGCATCCCTTACAGCTGAGGAGGCTGAGTTGCGGGCCAAGGCACCCGGTCACTGCGCCCCGGTCGGCGGTGGGCCCCCGCTGCCTCCGGGGCGCCCGCCCGCCCGCCCGCCCGCGCCCGCCGCAAGCCGCGCTGCTCTCCCCGCAGGTCCGCCGCGTGAGCCGGGAGCTCGTCCAGGTCCCCAACGAGGCGGTGACCGAGGACGGCCAGTACGCCGACCTGCTGACCGCGTGGGGCCAGTACATCAGCCACGACGTCGCCTTCACGCCGCAGAGCGCCAGCGCCGCGGCCTTCGGGGGCGGGCCCGGCTGCCGGCGCACCTGCGCCCACAGGAGCCCCTGCTTCCCCATCCAGGTGGGCGGCCGGCTGCCGGCGCACCTGCGCCCACGGGAGCCCCTGCTTCCCCATCCAGGCGGGCGGCCGGCTGCCGGCGCACCTGCGCCCACGGGAGCCCCTGCTTCCCCATCCAGGCGGGCGGCCGGCTGCCGGCGCACCTGCGCCCACGGGAGCCCCTGCTTCCCCATCCAGGCGGGCGGCCCGGCTGCCGGCGCACCTGCGCCCACGGGAGCCCCTGCTTCCCCATCCAGGCGGGCGGCCGGCTGCCGGCGCACCTGCGCCCACGGGAGCCCCTGCTTCCCATCCAGGCGGGCGGCCGGCTGCCGGCGCACCTGCGCCCACGGGAGCCCCTGCTTCCCCATCCAGGCGGGCGGCCGGCTGCCGGCGCACCTGCGCCCACGGGAGCCCCTGCTTCCCCATCCAGGAGGGCGGCTGGACGCCGGCCACCGACCCAGCGGGCCGTGCCCGGGCCCTGCCGGCAGCCCTGGCTCGCACGTGCGCGGCGTCCCGGGGGCTGGGGCGCGCCGGGGTGGGGGGGGGGTGCTGGGGCCGCGCTGGGGAGGCCTGGGGGCCTCGCGCCTCCCCACGCCAGTCCAGCGCCCGTGGAGCCGCCGCCCAGCCCGGCTCGTGCTCGGAGCCCCCAGGTCGCCGGCTCCGCGGCCCCGTCCCGTCCGCGCAAACTGAGGCCCGAAACACTCTGAGGCCGACTGCTCCGCGCGCAGGCTGGGGGGCGGGTGGGGGTGGGGGGCGTCCCCAGAGCCCCGAGACTCCGCGCTCGCGGCTCCATGGGCGCGGCCCTCACCCTGCAGGGGACGTGACTCCTTCTCTTTAGAAGAGGAAGAACACGAAAAGCTGGTCAGCGCCGCTGCCCCCCAGGGGGTCCCCTAACAGCGCAGCAGCATTTTCCTTGCCTCCAAAGGTTTTTTTCTGATTTTAAAGTAAATTAGGCACTTTGTGAGCCTACCCATTTTTTATCTTTCATATGTATTTATTTTTGTTTTTATGTTTCTTTTTCACATGACTGCTCGGCCGGGCCCTCCTGCACAGCGGCCAGCGCCTCCCTTCATCCAGTTTGACGTAAAACGGTGGCTCTTCTCATTCCGTGGCTGGCCAGCCGTTTCAGCCTTCTTTTCTAATTTAAATAACACTTTTCACAAATCAGTGGGGCCCAGTTCTGGGCCCCCCACTTCCATCACCCACCTATTTCTCTGTCCTGGGATGAAAACTCTAGATCCAAGGCCCAGGCGGCAGGCTGCTCCGCTGCCCGTTGGGGTCACCTGGCATCACTGTGCTTCTCCGACATAACTTACAAAGGAGGAGTAAAGTGATGGAATTTATTCAGGTAAACCCTAAGCTGAATGTAAGCGTTTCAAAAAGGAAAAGTACTAGTTGTTTCTAACTGGAATCGCATTTAATGGATACACATGCATTCATTTGAAGAGAACTGACCTTTTTTTTTTTTTTTTCCAGATTTTCCTGTGTTTTTTTAGTGATGTTTTATAATTTCTTCTGTAGCTCATATAATCTTTTTTGCTAAATTTATACAGGTAATCTTGTTAAAGTTGTTGCTGTTGTAAAAGGAATTTTTCTCTATTGCCATTTTGGCTACTTCACTAGGGAAGAAAGAAAAAACCGGGGCGGGGGGGCTTATGCACTTTTCCAGGATTGTGAAGATTCTTTGCCAGTAATTTTATTAATTTTCCAGGATTTGTAGCTATTTGTAGGCATCTAACTTATCAGGTACAAGAGATGATTATATGACTCTAAAATTTGACTTTCTCTTCTAATAATTTTACCAGTTCTTGTTTTAGTTTCTGGCCCTTCGTCTAACCAAAGTTTTTTCAATTCTGTAGGTAGTGTTAAGTGATAATGGTGGGTGTGACCCCCATTTCGTGGAGCGGGGCTTATCACATCCCGCGGAGTGTTTGCGGCCCCCTGTTCCAATGCTGGCGCCTGGGGATGGCCGAGAGTGCGTGGCGTCCTCCGTGTCAGGCGCCGACACAGCGTGTGACCGCGTGGGGAGGGTCCTCCAGCCTGCGGGGTCCCTGCGACCTCGCCTGCCACCCCTTCCCTGCGGGCTGTGCCCCCACCCTCAGGTCTCTGAGCTCTCAGGCGATGTCCAGAAGAACCCACTGCCCGGCGGGCATGCCAGCACCGCCCCTGCCCCGCGGCCCTCTTGGCCACCACCCCTGGCACAGCCTCCTCTGCCTGCCAGAGGCCGGGCGCCCTTCTCAAGCAGGTCTCCAGAGTGTGGGCAGTGGCTGCTCTCCTGTCCCACTGGCCCCGCCACCCCCACATTTGTTTCGAGTCAATCTCCTTTGTCCAGGCTTGTGAAATGTAGGTTGGTGGGTTCCCTTCCATCACATCTTTCCTCTTTAGTGATTTTTGTCTTGCCTTTTTAAAATTTGTTTTCTTTTGGCTTATTTCATTGTCCTTTCACTGAATCCGGAAGCTCCCTACTTTGCTCCTTTTCTCTGTCTCATGAAAGTGATTTAGAGACTGGATTTTCAGAGGAAAGCCTTTGCTGCTTAGACTTTGCTGAATGCAAGATAATCTTCCCCTGATTTCCGAAAAGCGGCTGGGGCCAGCATGGTTCTGCCTGGTCCATTCAGTGCCTGTGGCCGCCCCCTTGGCGCGCCCCTCCCGACTGGCTGAGGGCCAGCGTCCAGGCCCCAGGGACACACGGCCCCAGCCTGTTCACTGGACCTGTCCAGCTGCAGCGCCCTCCCCCCTGCAGCTGCAGGCCACTGGCCGGCCGGTGTGCAGGGCCAGGTGTGGGCTGTGATTGGGGACCCGCCCGCCCACCTGTGTCTCCTCCTGCCCCACTGGAGCCTCCCCAGCGGCCCCTCTTGCTCGGGGGCTCCTCTATTCTCCAGGCCCACAGAGGTGCCTGGAGCAGGCAGCTGCTCACTCTCAGGATGCATCAGCTTGGGGCTCCCCTGAGGCCCCTCTCTGGGTCTCTGCAGCCCTGACGGGAGGCTCTGGGTGGGGCCACGTGTGCCCCTGCACTCGCCTGGTCCCTCTCCAGCACCTGCAGGTGTAGCCCAACCAGGGATTGGGGCTGTCATGCGGGAGGCCCTGGGGGAGCTGACTGAGCCACAGCCAGGACCTCACCTGGAGGGTGAAGCCCAGGCCCCCCAGCCCCCGCCCCTCCTGCTCTTGAGGGAGCCCTGTGTCTCCAGAGAGAGGGGGTCAGCTCTTCCAAAGTCAGAGGCTGCCAGACAGTGGGGGGTCCAGGGGAGGCAGGAGGGGGGACTTTGCAAGTCCAGGAGCCACAGGGGCAGGGGTCTGCCTCTGGCCAGCAGGTGACCCATGGGGGAGGGTGGCCCAGACTAGCCCAGAGAGGACTGGGCAGCAGACACTGGTGCTCAGGCGATGGGGAGCCTAGAGCTCCTAGTGTCTCTCAACAGGGCGTCCAGAACCTTCTAACGGCCATCTCCCTTCTGCAGCTCCCCAGCAACGCCTCTCCCGGCGGGGGTCCGGGGTGTCTGCCCTTCTACCGCTCTGCCGCCTGCCTGCGTACGCGGGAGCCAAGGCGCCTTGCTGGGCAACCTGTCCCGGGCGAGCCCGCGCCAGCAGATGAACGGCCTGACCTCCTTCCTGGACGCGTCCACCGTGTACGGCAGCTCGCCGGCCTCCGAGGAGCGGCTGCGGGACTGGACGAGCGCCGCGGGGCTGCTCCGGGTCAACGCGCACCACCAGGACGCCGGCCGCGCTTACCTGCCCTTCGCGCCGCCCGGCGCGCCCGCCGCCTGCGCGCCCCCGCCCGGCGCCCCCGCGGGGGCCCGCGGCCCCTGCTTCCTGGCGGGGGACGGCCGCGCCACCGAGGTCCCGTCGCTGGCCGCGCTGCACACGCTCTGGCTGCGCGAGCACAACCGCCTGGCCGCGGCGCTCAAGGCCCTCAACGCGCACTGGAGCGCGGACACCACCTACCAGGAGGCGCGCAAGCTCGTGGGCGCCCTGCACCAGGTGCGCGTGCCGCGCGGGGCTGGGCGTGCGGATGCCCCGGGCCCACGGGCCTGGGCCCACCGGAGCTGACCTGCAGCCGCTGAGCCCTGGTCCTGGCTCCTGGGTCCCAGCGACTGCTCCCACCCCCGGGCTGGGGTGACTTTCCCCAGAGCCCCCACTTCCCCAGCCCAACAGCAGGCCCAGGCCACTGTGGGCTCCACAGGCCGGCCAGTCCTCAAGCTGCCTCCCAGATGGGTCGGCTGCCATGCTGGTGAGTCCATGTTTTGGAGCCAAGGAGAGCCCCAGACCTCCTGCATGATGTTCTAGAGCGAGCGGGTTCAGCAGACCGGAAGGGGTCTGGCCGCGCCCGAGGACTTGGGGCACCGGGTGGTGGCTGGTGCTTCTGTGGCGCTGCATCCGGTGGGGTTGGGCGAGCTCTTCCATCTGGAGACGTGCTGCTCCCTCACTGCTGGGGCACACTAGCTGGCCCTGGGCAGCCGCTGCCCTCCACCCTCCGTCGCCCTTTAGTCCCCGTGTCCACATTGGCTCGGGAGCCCCGAGGGTGGCTGTCCCAGGCAGGCTCTTGTCCCGACCTCCGTGGCCAACCCCAGCGCCAGGCTCCAGCCAGCTCAGCAGCCCTGGGTCCCCAGGGCGGGTCCCCCTCTGTGCTGGTGGGGGGCCCCCAGGGCAGGTGCTTCTTGCACCGAGGCAGGCCCAAGGGCTCACGTGTCTTCTCCACCCTCCAGATCATCACTCTGCGGGACTATATCCCCAAAATCCTGGGCCCTGAGGCCTTTGGGCAGCACGTGGGCCGCTACCAGGGGTACGACCCCACCGTGGACCCCACCGTGTCCAACGTGTTCTCCACTGCCGCCTTCCGCTTTGGCCATGCCACGGTCCACCCATTGGTCAGGAGGCTGGACGCCCGCTTCCAGGAGCACCCCGACCTGCCGGGGCTGCCTCTGCGCGATGCCTTCTTCAGCCCTTGGAGGCTCATCGCGGAAGGTGTGTGGGCAGCAGTGGTGGGCGGCCTTGGCTCTGGGTGGAGCTGCCCCTCCTCTCTCCCTCCCCCCGCCCTGCCTTTGGCGCCCATGGGGTGGACACCTTTGGGAAATAAATGCACCCGAACCCTTTCAAGGCGAAATGGCTCCTCAGGTGGGCATGGGGCAGGTCTCTGCAGCTTGGCACAGGCCCCTGCCAGAGCAGAGGCAGCACCCCCCCTCACACACACACACGGCTCATGCCCCCATCACTTCTGTGCCCCCCACCTCTGTCTGGACACGCTAGAGCCTCAGAAGGTGGCCTCTCCAGGAGTCATGTAATTGGTGGGCTGCTCCATGAAACGGGGCTGAGAAGCAGCTTGGTCTGCTTACAGGGGGGCTGGGGCTGGCCTGGGGGTGGGGCATCCCTGGCTGGCCACTGCCTCCTGAGCTGAGCCGTCTTACTTTTCCTGTTCTCAACCTCGGGCTTGGCAAACCTTTCTTTGTGGCATTTCTGCTGCTGGAAAGGGGACAGGGGCGCACCTGTGTGTCCCCAGCAGCCCCCAAGCCTGGTGGCCTGGAGCCAGCCCCTCGGAGTCCGACTGGCCACTCTGGGAGCCAGGAACCATGGGCAGGAGCTGAGGGGCTGCTCCAGCCTGCCCCCTGATTCCCCAGGAGGACTGGACCCCCTGGTGCGGGGCCTTCTCGCCAGGCCCGCCAAGCGGCAGCTGCAGGACCAGCTGGTGAGCGAGGAGCTGACCGAGCACCTCTTCGTGCTGCCCGGCCCGGACACCTTGGACCTGGCATCCCTCAACCTCCAGAGGGGCCGGGACCATGGCCTGCCAGGTGGGCTGACCTCAGCCCCTCCTGAAACGTGCCGGGGCCTTTGCTCCCCAGAGCGTGTGCCCAGCCTCGGCCTGGGCCAGAGCAGCCGCCCCTTTTCTCCCTCCCTGAGCTCCGGCCCCTGCCCATATCCCCCTGACATTCCGTCCCTCCCTTCCCCCGCAGCAGGAGCCAGTGAGCAAGCTTCCCCCCAGCCCAGGGCGCCAGGCCCCTCCTTCCCCCTGGCCCTCCAGACTCCGGGCTGGGGTCTCCCCCACTCTGCAGCACAGCTGGTCCTCTCTGCAGTGGACACAGCACCCCTCAGCTCAGCTCTCGGTTCAGTTCATACCTGGAGTTTTGACTCCCCTGAACACGAGGGCGTCCTTTCAGTGAATATTCCCAGAAGTAGCGTCCAGACCCCACACCCCAGACCCCCAGAAACCACGCTCCAGAACGCCAGACCCCCGGGCCCCACACCCCATGCTACGGGCCCCGGGGGGTCAGTGAATCCGGCGGCTGTGCTCTCAGACGCTGGGTCTTGTCTGTGATGTGACTGAGTGGGGACAACTCTGTGAAGTTGAAACTCCCCTGGCCAACATGGGGGCCCGGGGCGCCCCCCGCCTGGGCGGCCCCTCCCTGCTGGGCTACAGGGCCCCGGGGCTGGGTTGGTGGGGCTGGGCAGCCGCGGGGCCCACAGTGGGGGTGCTGGCCTCCAATGATGCAGGCAAGAGGAAAGACGCGGAGGGCTCTTCCAGTTTAACTGTCCCAACAGGCTTGCCAGGAGAGCCCCTAGAAATATCCACTGTCAAGGCCTCCCCCCCGCTCCCCCCCCGCTGAGGCCATGTCCCTGCCTGAGGGGGAAGGAGCACCTGTTGGGGGGAGCCCCCGACCAAGAGGGGGGCCACAGGGAGGCCCACAGCAGGGAGCTGGGACAGTGCAGGAGCCAGGCTGGTACCGCTCGGGAGGACAGGCCGACAAGGCTCAAGGGCCAGGCGTGAGGAGCCCCAGCCGGTGGGGAGGGGAGAAGCCACTGGCCAGGCGGGTAGGACGCTTTCATGCCCTTCTCCATGTGCACGCATGCGTGTGTGGGGGTATCCCTCTGCTTGCCTCATGCATGGCGGCATGACAGGGCCCCAGCTGGACGCAGTGTCTCTGAGCAAGCTCACGATGAGGCCCCAGTCTGCAGGGAGCAGGCTGAGCTCCAGGGGCAGGGGGTGGCCGATCGCACTGGCCCTCGCTGGACTGTCCCCGGGGATGGTGGCCGGGACCAGGCCATCAGACCGCGAAGGTGCCTGTCCCGCAGGGTACAACGCGTGGAGGGAGTTCTGCGGCCTGCCCAGACTGCGGAGCCTGGCCGCCCTGCAGGCCGCCATGGGCAGCGGACGCATGGCTGCCCGCATGCTCGCCCTGTATGGGGACCCTGACAACGTGGACGTATGGCTGGGCGGCCTGGCCGAGCGTGCCCTCCCCGGAGCCCGGACGGGGCCCCTGTTTGCCTGCATCATTGGAAGGCAGATGAAGGCACTGAGGGACGGGGACCGGTAGGTGGCTAGCACCCCCACTGTGGGCCCCGCGGCTGCCCGGCCCCACCACACCCAGCCCCGGGGCCCTGTGGCCCAGCAGTTGGTTCTTCTCACCACAGTCTCTGCAGCTGCGACGTGGCGGCTTCCAGTCACTCGCACAACAGGCAGAGCAGCCAGACGCACCCACTCACGGGGGGCTGAGGCCCAGCCAAGCCGCACCAAGTGGGGCTCCTGGCCATGCTGCAGGGTGTGGGCCGGAGGGCTCCCCAGCAGCCAGGCTCCTGGACCCTGAGCCAACGGTGACATGTGATGCCTTAGGCTGGGGACCAGATGGCCCTGGGGCTGCCCCTCAGTGGCTGATCCCAGATACCAACTCCCCCAGACACCAGCAGCCCCCCTGACACCAGCAGCCCCCAGACACCAGCAGTACCCCCTGACACTGACAGCCCCCCAGACACTGGCAGCCCTCCAGACACTGGCAGCCCCCCCAGACACCGGCCCCTCCCACCCCGCAGTCGCCCTGGCTAACAAGACAGGGCGGGGCGGGGGCTACGATCTCCTGGGAGGCGTTCGCCCTCCTGGGACAGCACCCATGGCCACCCCAGGGTGGGACACACCAGGGGTCCTGTGCTGTCCCGCCTACGGCCAGGAGCAGCAGTGGGAGCCCAGTCCCTCCTGCTCAGGCCTGGTGACACCGCCCACCGCGGGGTCTGGGCACCGGGCCTGGAGGGACGCCTGGGCCTGCAGAGGGCAGCGGGCCTGACCCGGCTGCCCACAGGTTTTGGTGGGAGAAGGACGGCGTGTTCACGGAGGCCCAGAGGCGGGCTCTGCGGCGCTACTCCCTGTCCAGGCTCATCTGCGACAACACGGGGCTGCCCCACGTGCCCGTGGACGCCTTCCGTGTCGGGCGGTTCCCCGAGGACTTCACGCCCTGTGAGCGCATCCCAGGCCTGGACCTAGAGGCCTGGAAGGAGGCCCTGCCTGCAGGTACCGCAGTTTCCTGCCCGGGCCCACCCCGGGTGCCGAGAGGAGGGGCGTAGGGCGCTGACCGCACCTGGCCTTCGCCCCTGCAGAGGACGCCTGTGGCCTCCCCGGTGGCGTGGACGATGGGGACATCATGCTCTGCCAGGAGCAGGGCCAGCGGGCGCTGGTGTGCTCCTGCCGCCCCGGCTTTGAGCTGCAGAGCCCCGAGCAGGTGGCCTGCACCCCCCACGGATGGGCGCCCCAGTGCCCCGTGTGCAAAGGTCAGTCACTGCACTTGCTTAAATGGCTGCCCCCACGTCCTCAACCCCCCCATGTCCTCACATCCCCCCACTGGCCCACCCCCCCACCCCACCCCACCGCCGGCCGCCCGCTCTCTGCAGACGGGGACCAGTGCAGAGATGCAGCCTGCGTGCCCCGCCCCCCGTCGGTGCGCTGCCCGAACATCCAGGGCGGCTTCCGCTGCATGTGCTCGGACCCCAGCGCACCGGGCGAGGACGGGAGGACCTGTGTGGGTGAGCCGGGCCGGACGCTGGGGTGAGGGCCATGGGCAAGGGCGCAGGCCTCTGCTGCCCCCTCTCACGCCCCAACTGCCCAGTCTGCGTGCACATGCAGCTCGGGCTGGGAGGGGCCAGGGCCGCAGCCCGCTGACTGCTGCTCTCTGCTCCAGACTCCAGGCGGCTCCCCAAGGCGGCCCTGGTCTCCCTGGTGCTGGGCACCCTGCTGGTCTGCGGCCTGGCGGCTGCCACCTGGATAACCCTCTGCAGGCGGTGAGTGCCCTGCCCTCTGCCCCCACCCCGCTGCCTGGACTTCGGGCTGCCCTGCCCGCACCCAAGGCTGGTCGCATGCGCTTCCTTTCTCTGAAGAGGTTATTCGCACCCAAAGCCAAGGTCTCCAGAGCTGCCCCATCAGGGAGCTCCCTGTGTTGCCTGCTGAGTGGAGGGCAGGAGGTGCTGGGCGGGGGTCAGCGGGCGCGGAGCAGCCCTGGGTCCTGCGCTTGGCACCAGGGAGGCTGCTCAGAGGGCATCTCAGAGAGGAGGGCATCACCCACTCCTCACCCTCCCTCAGGGCAGACTGGGCGGGCGACCCTCGTGGGCTGGGAGGATGGAGGGAGGCCTGACTCTGCCAGGATGGCTGCCCCGCGGGGCCCGCCCCACACCCCACAACGGCTCTGTCTGTGCAGTGTCCCCACTGGAGTGCTGGGCAGGGCGCCCAGCCCGCAGCTCCCTACGGGGTCCAGCGCCAGCCTGCGGCTCGCTCTGTGAGGGCAGCTCACCCATCCCAGTCCCGACCCGTGTGGGGCTGGTCTCGGGCCACGAGCGTGCGCTCTGCACGCGGACCTGCCAGCCTCCCGACGGCCTGCAGTGGCCTCCGTGCCCGCGAGGAGGAGCAGGGCGCCGGCCTGGGGCCCAGCTGGCAGCTGCGGCAGGCGGTGGGCAGGGCCCTGTCCAGAGGGCCTCCTCACGCGGCTCCTTGAACCCACAGGCGCTCTGATGGAGCAGCCGCACTGCTGGCCTTGGAGACCGGGGGACAGGCGCTGACCCTGGGGGGTGCAGACGACGCCAAGAGGGCCGAGCCGCCCACCGGGGGTCCCGTCCAGAGCCCCCGGCAGGCAGGTGTGTCCCTCCTCCTCGCCGCCCCGCGGCACTTGGTGTGCAGCTGAGCCTGAGGGGGGTGGGAGGGTGGGGGGGGATTGGGAGGGGCTGGGAGGTGGAGCACAGCAGGGCCTGGAGGGCAGGGGTTGTGGGGGGCTGGGGCGGCAGGGGCAGGGAAACACCTTGCCTTTGGCAGTCACGTCCTGGCGTCTTCCTGCTCCTTCCCCCACGAATGGTGTTTATGGGGCTGACGACCCAGGTCTGCCCACCTGGCGGAAAGCACAGAAGAGTGGACAGGAAGGTGCAGCCAGGCCCCCTGTGGAGGGGCTCAGAGCCGGGGCAGCCCCCGGGCCCGGCCCCTCTGCGCGCAGCTGAAGACCGAGGGGCAGTAGCGGGAGGCATGAAGAAAATGTCAGCCTTCACGATGAGATTAAAAAGCACGGGAGGCTGCAGGGGGTGTAGCGCCAGCAGGAAGGCGCAGAGCAGGGTCTCCGCGATCCCAGCAGATGGTTAAAGGAGGGTCCTGGAGCCTTTGGTGGCTTTTCAGGCTTTTCTTGCCATTTTACCAGGTACCCGGCAGGCAGGGGGCTGGGGGCCGGGGCTGGCGGGCTCCCAGTCCCCAGGGAGTCTTCCTGTCTCTGGGTTCTCCGGCGTCTCTCATGTCTCCTTCTCTCCCCTGCTTCTCTTTCCTTCTGCTGTTGTCTCTTCTGGCTCCGTTCTCTGCCCTTTCGCTTGTTCCTGGTTCTTGGTTCCGTGGCGCCGCCCTTGTAAGCCCCGTCTCAGCCCAGGTGCGCCCACCAACGCATGCCCACACCCCGCTCCAGGGGCCGCCCTCAGGCCCGCGTGCAGGACCGCAGGGATCCCTCATCAGTGCTGATGGCGGGAGGGCGGGGAAGCCTGATACTTTTTCACTTACCCTACATTTGCTCTCCGGCATCTCTCGTGGCCTCGTTCTCTCTCTCCTGCTCTGCTGGCACCCCTGTGATGCCGCCCTTATAAAACCAGTCTCAGCCCAGGTGCGCCCACCTACACATGCCCACACCCCACTCCAGGTCTCGCCGTCAGGCTTGCGTGCAGGACCGCAGGGATCCACCATCGATCCTGCTGGCAGGAGGGCGGGAAAGCCTGACACTCATTTACCCCACAGGGGAGGAGCCCTCCATCTAGACTCGGCACGCCTAGCCCCGGTGTGTGACACTGGGCCCTTCTCTGCCCTGGGCCTTGATGTTTGATGTCCCACTGCTCAGAGCTGCCGGGCCGTCCTGGGGCCCTGGGTGGAGGTGGGTGTTGGGGAGCAGGGCAGGGAAGCCTGGCCAGGGTCCCATCAGCGCTTTCTGTCCTGCAGGACCAGCCTGAGGGTCTCCAGCCCCACTCTGCTCCGGCGTCCCCGCTGGCATTCCCAGCCGCCTCAGGCCGCTGCCATCCTGTCCCCGGAAGGCTGCCCAGACACGGGGGGCGGGAGCCCACGGATCACAGTGTCCCACCCACCAGGACCCTGTGCATGCGCTCCAGCAAGTCCTCAGCCTGAGACTTTAACAAATAAAGGCCCAGCTGTGTCCCTTCTTGTCTCTGATGGCCGCCACTGGCTGAGCCAGAAGACGCGGTCAGCTCCCGGAGCCTGGTGCCAGCGCCACCGGGGCCGGGTCAGCACCCCACCTACCGCGAGAGTTCAGGGCCTCAGGGCGGTGGAGGCGGGAGAGCAGGCTCGTGCGGGCGTGCACACTGGCTGAGCGCGTGTGCCGGCAGGACGCTTGGAGAACTGGCCATCGACCTGTGGCCAGGGGCGCCTGGGCAGGCGGGGTCCATGGATGCGCATTCCTGCTCCCTGGGCACAGCCCAGCCCGCAGGGACCTCCCAGGACAGCCCCTCAGCCTGACGTGCCTTTAAGCGACCGTGGAGGGAGACAGCAAAGGACAGGCCTCCAGGGCAGCCAGCTTTGGCCGCGCTGGCCAGCAGTTGGACGGTGGCTGGCTGGCCCTGGTGCCTGCCAGCACCTCAAGGATCTGCCCCCAGGGGGCGCTAGTGCTGCAGGGAACAGGCAGGCCTGCAGACCACCCCACAGGAGAACGGCTCCCTTGGATTTTCTCCCAATTCCGGTTTCCCTTGGATCTTCCTCCGGGGGTGGGGGGAGGGAGGAGCGGGCTGGCCAGGTCCAGCTCGGGACAGGATCTCGGCCATCAGGAGCTGACCGGGCGGCTTATTTCTCCTCCCCCTCCCAACCCCCAGCCTGCAGCAGGAGCAGGACAGCAGTGCATCTCGGGGGCCCGCTGGCTCCCACCCCGATGGTGACCCACGTTGTGTGCAAGGCTCCTTCCTGAAGAGATTTGGCTTGGATGGAGTGGGGGGCTGTCATGCCAGTGGGCTCCCCAAGCCTGGCCTCGCCCGCCTGTGGGTTAAGGGCTGAGGTGGATCCCGGGTGTGTGTGGACAAGTCTGGACCCTCTGGCTCCCTCCTGTGCGGGCTGAGCCCGCAGCCCGCCCTGCACCAGCTGCCCCTGCCCACACCAGAGGGCAAACCCTCTTCCCAGGACCACACTGCCTGGCGGCCACCCCAGGGCCAACCACAGGTGCGTCCCTGGAGGCCAGGGCATCGGCCGCCTGTGTGTGTCTTGCCTGTGGCACCTCCTGGAGCTGGGGTTGCTTCCTGTCTCCTTCCTCTGCCCTCCCTGGTCCTCTTCTTGGGTCCACACCCAAGAAAGAAGAGGGCTCCCCGTTCCCGCCCGGCCTCAGCCCTGCCCTCTGCATGTGGTGAGACCCTTGCCCTGGAGTATTTTGGGGTGCCGCCAGTCACTCAGTCACCCCGCTGCCCAACAGGACACTCTGCCCCAGGTCCAAAGCCCTTTCTAGCAGCCTCGGCACTCGGTTTCGGGGGAGGGGCCTGCACCCGCGGGCTCCGGTGCAGCCAGCTCAGCCCTGACGGTCCGTGTTGGGAGTCTCTGGACACGGTGACCCCTCATGCCCTGGTCCCTTCCTGTGCCCCACCCTGGTGCTGCCCTGAGCTGCACCATGAGGAGGTCCACAGACGGGGTTTTGACAGAGGCAGCGTGAGCAAAGACGGTTGGGCTCGTCAGTTCTGCTCTCAACTGTGAGAAGGGCCGGCACAGAGCAGGCCTCTCAGCTCCTGCTCCCAGAACATGCCACGTGCGGGCATCTGGGGCCGGGAGGGGCTGCACGGTGCAGCTGGGAGAGAGCCTGCCCCAGCACTGCAGTGGGCGATGTGGAGCACTGGGAGCATTTGGAAGGCCAAGGTGAGGGCAAACTCCCCCAGGCCAGCGTTGGAGGAGGCTCCAGGTGGAACCTTTCTGATCACTGGTCACTTCTTGCTGAGTCTGAGTCCTCTTTGGGGTCAGCTGCCCCTCCATGGGCCTGAAGCTACTCAATAGTCAGCAAGAGATTTTAGTTACAATGGTGGAGGTGGTGATGGTGGAGGTGGTGATGGTGTTGGAGGTGGAGATGGTGATTTAACAACCACCACAGCCTCCCGGGCTCTGATGCTCCTTGCCCGGGCCCAGGGAGCCACATTCTGGCAGTTCCGGGGCCCTGTCCGTCTTCGTGTGGCAGAAGCCTGGCAGTGGAGGACAAGCTTCTCCCCTCCCCCTGCAGCAGCAGGCTCGGACGGCAGGGACCCGTGCTGGGAAGAGTCTTCTCGGGCCGTCATGTGAAAGTTTTGCGTGGGCGGCTTGAACCGCTTCCCTCCAACCCAAGCTGGAAAAATACTTTTCTTTGGCCTTGGCCAACAGCGATGTGCAGCCTCCCTCGGCCGTGGTCCCCTGTGGGGAGCTTCCAGATGTGCCGGAGCCTCCGCCAGAAACACGTGCCTTCTGCCGGGCTGGGGCCGCGGAAACAGGGCCGCAGGGGACACCCGCCCACGCCGGCTTCTCCAGAAGAAAAGGGAGTGGGGGCCACTGGCCCAGAAGGGCTGGCGTGGACGTCAGAGGAAGCCCCTCAGGGACCTCGGCCCACCCGTTCCGCCAGGCGTCGGCAGGCACAGGCCACCCCTGTGCCGTCTCCTGCATCTGGCGCCTCCAGCTGGGGCAGCCACGGTGGGTCCTGGCAGAGGCCATGGTCAGAGGTGCCCACCAGCGTGGGGGAGAGACCCACTTGCTTGGGGCAGTCTGGAGCCAGCCACCCCCTGCACCCCCCCACCCTCTGTGCCGATTCTACGTCTGGGCCTGAAACAGCTGGTCTCTAGGTCTCGGTGACCCAGGCCATCCTCACAGTGCCGCCCAGTCAGGATGCCGGCCCAGGACTGGCGCTGCCTGCGCAGCAAAGACCCTCCCCACTCCAACCCGCGCTCTGGGTGGGTTCTCTGCTGGCAGTGGCCAGCACAGGCTGAGGTGTGGGCTGGGACCTGGGGCCTCCAGCAGACACGTCTCCTCTGAATGACAGGAGCTGAGAATGACCCCTGCTGACCTGTGGCCTCGCCTAGCCAGCAGGCACGGATGGCAGAGGGGGCATGCTGGAGTCCTGCTGTGCAGAGGCCACGCATTTGACATCCTCACAACGCACGTGACAGACACGCTGCCAGGAGGACAAGACAGACGGGTCAGGGGACACGGGGCACCACAGGGCTCACGGGCCACAGGTGTAAACACTGACTCCCAATGCAAGGCTCAGTTTTCTGTTTGTAGGTTTAAACAAGGATAGAGATAATCCCGTAACTAAGCTATGCTTCCATGGCGTGGCCTGGTCAGGAGGTCATGAGGCCTCCCGGAGGACGGCAAGCGGGTGGGGCAGGGAGTCTGGACGGCGGCCAGAAGCTGCTCTCTGAACGGAGGCACAGGGCAGGGCCCGGCGGGGCAGGGCCAGGTGGGGAGGCAGGGCCTGGGGTCAGGCTGGGCTGGGCCAGGCCTGGAGCGCGGTGGGGTGCGCTGGGCTGCTTGGCCTAGATGTCCACTCTCCCTGCGGTCACCTTGCTTATGGCCAGCAGCCCTTGCGAGGGAGGCGATTTTACCCGGTGAGAGGGCCACGCACTCCATCAGAGAAGAGATGCTTGCCCGCATACGCATCCCTGGCCAGTGGCCAGTTGTGAGGAGCGCTGGACAGGCAGTGGGCAGGGGGCCTGCAGCTGCCGTGGCAGGAAGAGAAGGGTTGCCCACAGCACAGAGACGCCCCGGCTGGGCGCTGTGCACCCAGGGAGGGAGGGTGGACGCATGGGAGACGTGGGCACCCGGGGGGGGGAGTGGGCACAGGCCAGGAAGGTGTGTGGGAGACTAGGGCGTTCAGTCCACAGGAAGGTGGCCGGCCGAGTGCCAGGATCTGAAAAGTTCCTTCCGGCAGGTGCTCAGTGTCTTGTAAACACCCGGAGCCCCACAATCAAGATGTCCTGGGTCATCAGGACCCAATGGCCTTTGCCCAGGGGCGTGTGGAACAAGATGAAGCCAGCACAGCGCCTTCTTTCCTGTTTGTGCAGCAGCATCCGGCCGGGCATTGTTTGTCGGGGATAATTAAGGACGGCGGGGGGGGGGGGTGTTCTGAGCCTGACCTCCCCGAAGGCGGCCAGATGTGTGAGTGACCACAGCAGGACACCGAGCCAGGGGCCTGCCGGGCCTGTTCCTGGCCGGGCCATGATGGATGGCCTAGGGAGCCATTTTCAGCTGGTCCTGTTTCAGCTGGGGCCAGCCCTGGTGGGGGTCCTGCATGGGAGGGACGCGGGGAGCAGCTGCAGAGCCAGGCAGACTGCCAGCCAGCTAACGTGTGGCCTCAGAGGGAGCCCCGCCCACCCAAGCGTGAGCCTTGGCTGCCAGTCAGCGCCTGGTGTCAGCAGTGGGCGGGGGTGCCGGGGTATGTGAGAGAGGGGGGTGGGAAGCACATCCCCAATGTCCAACACGTTCGTGGCACACTTGGGGAGTTCACTGGTCACTCACGTGATCTTCTGGGGACGTGACCCTGATGGAGGACAAGAATAGAAAAAAAAACGAAAAGCAGGCGCCACAAGACCAGAAACCCGGCTCACACAAGAAGGCAGGGGTGGAAGGGATTAGCACAGCCATCGATACGGCTACGGACACCGAGGTCCTTAGGCGCAGACGACACAGTTGCGGAAACTAGCATCCTTAGCGCGGACGCCTGGATCACAAAGCATAACACCCAAGCAGGTATCGGGGGCGCATCCAAGGGAAAGACATGGAGATGGAGCCCATCCTGGAATCTCTGGTCCCTTCAGATTCTGCAGAGTTTTCCAAACTCAGCAACCAACTGAGGCTCACAAGGAGTGACCCCTCCCAAACAGGAGACTCTATCAGTGCAGTCTCTGCCCTGGCTCGGGGCAGCCGTCCTTCCACCCACCTGTGCCTATGCAGGTGCCTCTTTTCACCCACTCTCTTCTCCGCAGGGCGGCAGCCTCCTCCCTGCCTGTGAGCTGCACCTGCCGGGACTTCTCCTCACTGCCCCTCAGGGCCACCCGCCTGTGACCATGCAGGCCTCTCTCAGCAAACCTGTCCCTTCGGGGCAGCTCTTCCTGCCCGCTGGTGTCTATGCAAGTGTCCTTTACTCTTCTGGCCCTGTCCCTAATAAACCTGCCCTTTAAATATAACCAACGTCTCTGTCTCGTGGAGAAACTCGCCTGGGAACTCGCTGGTGCCGCTGAAACGGGAGCTCTGGTGACACCATCCCCAGAGTGAACCTGAGGACCCCACTCTCCAAACCCACAGACTCCAAAAACCACAACCCCCCAGAGCAGAGGCCGTGTGCTGGCCCAGGCCCCGCACAGGACCTGGGGTGAGCGCTGTGACAAGAGCACGGGTGTGTGGTGCGCGGCCCTTGCGCCTCCTACAGCTGCGGGAAACCGCACATCAGGCGCTCGGTCCCTGCCTCCAGCCACAGCGTTTGTTTGGGGCAGCTGCAGCACAGCCCCATGCTCCCTGGCCTCCGGGGAGGGCAGATGCCCACGCCACTTCCGGCCGGAGCCTGGCTAGAGGGACTCCCACCCCCCAGTGCAGTCCCCCTTGGTCCTTCCAAGGTCAGGGGCTTGTGAGCGGCTGTGGGGCCATCTCAGGTCACTGGCGGGGGTGGGGGGCCGCACACGGGCGGTGGGGCGCATGCAGACAGGTGGGGTCTGCTCAAGGTACAGGGCAGCACCGCTTGTCGGCTTGGAGTGGCGGGAGCTGCCCAGGCTCCGTCCACACCCACCCGCCAGGAGGGGGAGCACCTCCAGGAAGCAGACACCACGGGGGACGCAACAAGGCAGCCAGCCCCGCTGGAGACCTTCCTGAGGGCCCATTTTAATTCTCTCAGTTTGGTTAGGTAGGGCCAGATACCCCCAGGCCCCAGGCGGCTCTCCTCTCCCAGCCCCCAGCGGCACCCATGCGGGGTGGCCGCGGGCTGCGTAAAGCAGATCACGGAGGCCGCTCTGCATCTGAGGACATGCCCACGTAGTGACCTGCAAGGCAGGGATGTCCTGATGACAGCTCTGGTGGCGCACTGACATGCGCGCAAGCGCTGCTGTGGCAACAGTGAGAAGAGTGACCTCTGGGCTGTGGCCCACCACGCCCTGCCGACCCTCCCCCAGAAGCCAGATCCTCGGCCAGGGCCTGTGCCTCCTTCCTAGTCCCAGGTCCTGCAGGGCGGGGTACGCCCCCCAACCCGCAGTCCCAGCCCCCAAGGCGGCCACTTCCCAGCTCCGGAGGGTCATCCCCTGACCACACCAGCGCAAAGTCCATGTGTCCAGGAGTCGGGGCGGCCGGTTCGTCCAGACCCACATCTGTGGCCTGAACCTTTATGTCCAGGAGACACTTCTTAGACCTCGGATTCTACTTTATACTTCGGGTAAAATGGCAGGTTTTGGTCAACTGGGAAAACAGGGGGTGAGGTATGACCGTCCTGCAGGCCTTGCAGCGGACGCTGCCCTCGCCATCACACACCTGGTCACGGCAGGGTTTCAGGACCTCGCACCAGAGGGCAAGCAAGGGCGCGGCTGTGGCCTGGCCACGCACAGCCCCAAGCTGCAGGAGCCCGCGCGGACCCCTGAGGCCAGAGCCTAGGGCGGCAGCAGAAGGTCTGAGCTCGGCCCCAAGAAGGCGGGAGGGTGCGGGGCGGGGCCTGGCACGGGTCGGGCGCGGGGCAGGGCGGGAGGCGGGCCTAACCCTAACCCCAGCAGATGCCTGCCCGGCCGGACCCACCCACCCCAGGCCCTGCTCCTGGGCACGCTCCCCCATGGGGAACGCGGCGAAGCAATGGAGGAGCAGGTGTGGCTTAACTGTGCGATTTAATAGAAGCACCAGTTTTTCATTAGAAAATTAAATAAACCTGAGAAATCTAACGTGAGTTAGGACACGTGTCTGCCCACCCCACCCCACCCCCGCGCAGTCTTGCCCGGCCCCACGGCAGCCCCCACGGCTCCGGCCAGGCCAGAGGGCCAGTTCGTGGTGGTTCCTTGTCCCACTCCGGTGCGGCCTCCCACTCCGGTCCTGGACGGCGGGACCGACGGGCCAGCAGCTCCTGGCGCCTAGGGCTGCTGCTCGGAACTGGACGGCAAGCAGACCGGGCAGCACTCTCCCTCCAGCCTCACAGGTGTTGGGCAGTCCGCCGGCCGGCAGGCCTCCACGAAGCAGGTGATGTGCCCGTCCTGGGGGCAGCGCAGCGGTCAGGCTGGGGGACGGCGCCCCGTGCCCACCGCCTCGGCCGGATTTGTGACACAGGAGTGGGGTTAGGCTGGAGTGGGGTCTGGGGCTCCGGGCTCCACTGTCCTTTTCCCTGGTCCCCTCGCTCTGTGACCCCAGGACCTCAGGCACCTGCCCGCCTTGCCTTGACCCTGGGGCCCCAAATGAGGAAGATGGGCTCCGGAGCAGCTGGAGGAGACGATGACCCTGCTTGGCTGGGTCCTTCCCAAGCCAGACCAGCACAAGAGACACTGGGGTCCCTCCCTGTGCCTAGGCCAGGGGCAGAGCCCGCCCCACACTGCAGGAAGCTCTCCATAGTGGCCGGTCCTCCCTCTTCCTCACCTTCTACCCTGAGCTTCCCACCTGGCGGGGGTGCAGCTGGACCCCAGCCACTGGCCCACTTCTCCCCCAACACTCCTCCCTGGCGGGTACAAATGCCCTGGGGCTGACGGGGTGGGGGGTTGTGGATGATTTCAGTTGGTTTCTCGGGGAGACCACGCAAGCAGGAGCCTGGGGGGCATGGGAGTGGGGAGTTGGGTGGGGCTTGGGTCCAGTGGGGAGCTGGGGTGGGTGCAGGGCACAGCTGGGCGTGGCCAGTGGAGAAGAGGGTGTGGCCTGTGGCTGGGCATGGCCAGTGGCCAGGGGCGTGGCCAGTGGCTGGGGTGGGCTGAACTCACGTGGCACTCGCAGGCAGTGCACGCGTCCTTCTTCCACGAGGAGCCCTCGGCGTGGGGCTCGCCATCTGCATCGGCACACTCAGAAGTGCTGAGCCGGGACTCGAGCTTCTTGATCTGCATCCGGGGAGACATGCCAGGTCAGCGCAGAGGAGCCGCTGGCTGAGCGCAGCCAGCTGTCCCTCCCCGCACCCAAGGGGCCGCCCTCCACACCCTCCCAGGAGCACGGCCTGAGGCTGGAGCTTCCCCGCGGCCCTTTGTCCGTTCCCAGCTGGATCTTGGCGAGGACTCCAGGCAGCATCCTGGGCCGAGCAGCCCTGGGCCCCCTCACCGCACGGCTGCAGCCTGAGCATCCCGTCCCGACACCCGGGAGCAGCTCGTGAGGCCCCGAAAAGCAGGGGCACCAGGTGGACGAGGGCGCCCGTGGAAGCGGGACAGGGGTGCCAGGGAAGCCGAGGGGGAGCCCTGGCAGGGCACCTGTCTTCTCAGGTCCGTGATGGTCTTCTGCATCTCCAGAACGAACTCCTTGAAGTCGCTGGTCCCTGGGGCCTTCAGGTGCTCGAGGGCGGGGTCCGTGGCATTGCTGGGGCGCTCGCGGTGCTTCCCCATGTGGCTGCGGGAGCAGAAGGGTGCTCAGCCCTCAGGGGCCGGGGGCAGCAGGCTGGACTGTGGAGCCAGAGGGCCCGCCTCTCCACGCCCCAGATGCCCTACCTGCTCGCGCGTGGGCCCCGCTGGTCCCCGGCTCCCTCGATCGGCCTGTCGTCCTGGTAGCTGACGTCCAGAGACCGTCTGCCTCGGAAGTGGTATGAGAAGGCGTTGAACTGCCCCCGGGTCCTGCAGTCTGACAACGGAGCATGAAGAGCTGAGTCAGGGCAGGCGGAGGAGCCCCCAACAGCAGCGCAGCCCGGCAGGTCCTCAGGGTGCCCCATGATGCTCTGCGGCGCTGCCTGCCTTCCCTCTACATGCCAGCGGGCCCTGGACCCGGCGCCCTGGCCTTCTCCCTACTACCCTGCCTTGCAGCCCCCTTCGGGGCCTCCCGTCCCCCTCCCCGGGACAGCTGCCCTCAGGGTGCCTTCCTGGACTCTGCACTGGGTCCCTGACGCGTCCTCAGGCCCCGTGTCTGCCCAGAAGTCAAGGAGCCCACCTCCTGGCCGTGGGGCCCCCTGGGTCACCCCACCGCAGGAGACACCATTCCTGCGACAGGCCACAATCTGGCGTCTCGCAGGCCTGAGAGGAAGCCCACAGAGGAGAGATCACAGAGTGGACGGAAGGGCTGGGTCAAGACCTAAAGGCCACTTGGCTGCAGGATAGCCCCCAGACATCCCGACTCGGCTCCCAGCCGTGTACACCAGCCGGGGGTGGGGGGGGCAGACCGGAGTGGTTTCTCCAGCGGCTCCTGGGGATCCAGTGGCGCCCACGGCTCTCCTACCCGTCCGCAGCCAGCCCCTGGCCGCACCTTGGCCACCAGCGCTTCACTGGCTCCACCGCCCCACCTCAGGTGTGCAGGGTGGGGCAGACAGCAGCCCCGTGGAGAGAGCAGGCACTGGACTCTGCTGTCTGGCAGGCTGTGCCCTCGGGCAGTGACGTGGTGCGTGGCTAGAGGGCCGGGCCATTTGTCCAGGGGGCTGTGACCCGCGCCGCCTGGGCGGCAAAGGGGGGGCCACCCCCGCAGCAAGCCTCTCTGTGTCGTGGGCAGGATGGAACCCCAGCGGGCTCTGGCCCCAGCGTGTGGGCACCCAGGGTCACCCCAGTGCCTCCAGCCATTGACCCTGCAGGGAGCTCCCAGGCGCTGGTCATGGGCAACCCTGACGGCTAGTGGGGAATGGTGGCCAGGAGCCTGGCCGAGCAGGTGGGACCCACCATTCTCGGGGTGGAACAGGAGATAATGGGATGCCTGGAGGGGAGGCCGTGCGGCCGCGACTCAGCATCCCCACATGGTCCTGGACGGCCTAGGCGCCCCACGCACGCAGGGACCCACCGAGGGGAAGACACGGCCTGCGCCCAGCAGGCGGGCGGGCAGAGCAGCAGACGCCTGGGTGCGCACAGGGAGGGGCTGAGGGCGGGGCTGTGGCCCGCTGGCCTGGGCTGGAGCAGAACAGCACCACGTGCCGCGCATCAAGTGCCATCCTGGGCGCACACGGGTGTACATGGGTGCACACGCTCTCATGTGTGCTGTGGATGGCAGATCGTCACCGCCGGGAGGCTCAGCGAAGTGCCGGGTGGCCAGTAGCGCAGCAGCGCCCCCCTGCAGGCCCCTCAGGAGTGTGCGCCCAGCCCTGCTGTGTTCCCCAAACACCCCAGCTCCCTGGAGAAGCCAGATTCACAGTTTGAGGGGAGGAGCAGGAGCCACATCCGCCCAGGAGCCCCGTCGGGCCATGCTGGCCTCAGACTCAGGTTGAAACAATGTCTGCTCTGGGGGGGGGGCTGGGCTCTGGGGGTGATACGCAGTTAAGAGGGGAGACCCTGCACCCTGAGTCACAGCCTGTGCTGTAAACCACCGTCACCGCAACAAAAATGTAACGCAATACAAAATGTTTGCTTTAAATACCTCACATTTTAAAACTGAAAAATAGCGACAGGTTTTTGGGCCTGTCAAACCTCAGCTCTTCTGTTATTTCAGATGTGACTTTTAGGCTAAAATAAAAATATAGCGAGAGCTGTACACCCATTTTTACGCCTCAACTTAGGGCGACCTCTGCTGCTCTGAGGGGATGTGGAAATCGCTTTATGAGACTCGATTCCCCACCAGTGCATGGCAGAGGGGCGGTGGGGAGACACCAGGCTGTGAGTGGAGGACAGGAGGCCTGGCCCACCCTCCTGGCTGCTGGAAGCCTGGCAGCCCCCCGCCCGCGGCGAGGCTTAGTCTCTGGGATGAAGGACGCGCGATCCACAAGGGTTCCCTGAGGCGCTTTCCTATGAACATGGGAATCAGACTTGCTGCAACCCTTGGGGACCAGAGTCTGGGCTGAGGAAACTAGGGAATGCCCTTTAAAGGTGCAGCAGAAACGACACGCGTTTCCAGCAGGTGTGGCAATGGGAATGCAAGCTGGTGGAAAAATTGGGTCTGGAGGCTCAGGAGGGCGTGGTGGGGGGTGTCCGGACAAAGGGGAGGTAGGTCCAGAGTCGGACCCACAGAAGCAGCTCTTAAAGCACCTGAGCCATCGGCCCGGGTCCAGCCCCTGCTGGTGAGACAGCTGGTTCAGCTGCCCCCAGCAAGGCCCGCACCCGGCCAGGCAGCTTCCACAAGGCTGCGGAGGTGGGGCGAGCCCTGCTGTGCCCCTCTCTGCCTCCCCGGCCACGTGGCCCCTTCTCATGACCACAGAGCAGGTGTGCTGAGGCCTGAACACCCCAGCCCCACCGCCCAGCGGTTCCCATCAGAGCTCAAATAAAAACAGGGTGACAAGCAATTTAGAAGCTCAGCTGCCTACGAAGGGATTTCAGGACAGCAGCCACGAGAGCAGGCGACCAGGCACCTGCAGAGACCATCCCCCCGCCGAGCCAGGCACCCACAGAGATACCCCCACCCCGTCCGGGGAGGCAGCTGCTGCACCTGCCTCTGGTTCTGTTTGTTAAAACAGACATTAAAAACCAGGACCGGGACTCCCTGGTGGCGCAAGGGGTTACGCACAGCGCTGTGAAGCTGTCTCTAGCCGCTGCGGCCCGAGTTCAATTCCCGGCCAGGGAGGTACCCACAGGGCGTGGCGCACCTCTCCTGTCTCCCCGCTGCTCCCCTCAGCAGTGGATTTCAGTGGCTCTGCCTGTTCTGTTTCTGGTGAGTCCTCTCACCCCCACACCTCTGGTCTGCGCCCCAGTTCTGGTATGCATAAATAAATAAATCTTAAAAATAAATAAATAAAATCAGGATCTCAGATTTTAAAGACCAAGTCTGATGCTTGGTGCCCACCGGCGGGGAGGCTCACAGGCAGTCCCAGCACTCAAGTGGACACGGGCTGAGTCGCAAAGAGAAGCTGGGAGCGTCTTGTGACAGTTCCGACTCCTGCCCTTTACTGAGTGCTCCAGTAGGCACGAGACTGCACAGCGCACGGGTCGCAGGGTCCCAGGGCCCTCACGATCAAGGCCTGAACATCCTGAAGTTCTGAGGTACCTTAATATGCCATGATTTAGCAACCCCTCAGAGCTATTCTGCTTCCATTCTCCCTTTACCAAGACACCTTCAAGTGCTTTAGCGTTTACCAAATCTGGCAGTGAGCCAGGAGGGCAAAGCCCAGTGAGGGGGGCCGAGCGGGGGCCGAGGGCGGGGAGGGGGCCGAGCGGCACCTGGCGCGGGGCGCACCTTCACAGCAGTCCTGCCACACCCGCAGGTCCACACGGGGGATCTCATCGCAGCTGCTGTAGCCGTGGGGGAACTCGGCCACGCGGAAGACGTCGCGCTGCACCCGCGTGATGTTGTCCGAGTTGTCGCACAGGATGCGGGCCAGGGACGCCTGCCGGATCTGCGTCAGCTGGGCCGGGGAGAAGACCCCTGGGTTCTCATACCACAGCCTGCCACAGAGTGGAGAGAGAGAGGGGGTGGCTTCAGAGGCCTAAGCCCGGGCCCTGGTACCATGGTGTGGGGGATCCCTGCTGCCCCAGTTTGGGGGTGACTGCTGACCCGGTCTGGGGGCCCCACTGCCGTGGTCTGAGGCCTGCCAAGGGGCTCCGACACTGGGCTGCGGCGGGGCGGCCTGGTCATGGCTGGTCCAGTACCTCAGGCCAGAAGGAAGGTCCCACTAAGCTAAGCACCCTGAGAGGGTCCAGCTGCTCCACCGCCTCGGGCTGACTGCTCCGCTTGGAGGCAGAACGCACCCTCAAACCCTCCCATCAGGCAGGGGTCAGAGCTGACAGCACCGACAGCAGGTGGCTCAGCCAGGACATCCTGGGGCCCTGGGGACTCTGGGGACCAGGCTGTTTTCAAGCAACTGTGGACACACAGCCCCCACTGCTCCTGCCCCTCAAGTGCCCAGGGCCAGCTCAATGACAGCTCCTTTCCCGGTACCTCCAGCTCACCTGTCCCCCGGCGCCCCCAGCTCTCCTGTCCCCCCCGCGCCCCCAGGTCACCTGCCCTCCGATGTCCCAGCCCTCCCTCACCTGCCCCGCCCCCCCCCAGCAGCCCCAACGCTTATGAGCGCACCTGCCCCTCTGTGGCCCCCTGACGCCCGCACTCCTGTGCTCGCCGGTCCCCAGGGCCCTGGGCTCACCTGTCCCCGTCGCGCAGACGCCTGAACTGGGTGCTCAGCAGACACATCAAGGTGGGCCCCAGGCGGCTGCCGGGAACCAGATCTTCCACGATGAGGGCGGGGAACAAGTCGATGTTCAGGGGGGAGCCGTACAGCCTGCGTGAGACAGGCCGCATCACGGGGCGCCCGTGGGCATGCGGGGTGCGTCACCCCGCACGGTCTAGACTCTCACTGCGGAGATGGCCCGGCGTTGTTTAAAGTGCCTGTTCATTGTTTTAGGGATGTTTTCCTGACTTTGTGTACACGCACGTGCACAAAACACGCACCCACCTGGTGACTCTGAGTCCAGCCGGGTGGGGGCTGCAGGGGGAGCCGCAAAGGTTGCATGGCCCCGGGGAAGAGGGGAGCAGAGGGGGGCAGGGGCTCAAGCCTTGGCCTGGAGCTACCTTCTGCCAGCGCCACTTCCCAGCTGGGCCCCCACACCCAGCCTCCCGCACACCCCGCCCGCCCATGCGCCAGGGCCCTCGTCTCGCCCTGCCCGCCCCCACTCACCGCCTCAGTTTCTCCCGGATCTCGGGGTCCTTGATCTCGTTCTTGAGGTCTTCAAAGGAGTGGGCAGTGGACAGGTTGCAATAGACGCGGAAGTCGTGGTAGGGCGGGATGCCGTGGTCCCGGCCGCGCTGGATGTTGATGGCCGCCAGGTCTAGGGCCACGGCGTGCGCCATGGAGAAGAGGCGCTCGGTCAGCTCGGTGTTGAGCAGCTGCGAGGGCACCCGCATCTTGCCCGCCACGCCGAATAGGCCACGCAGCAGCGGGTCGATGCCACCCTCGCCCACCAGGCGGAAGGGTGAGAAGAAGGCCTTGTGCAGCGGCACGTGGCCCTGCGGGATGGGCCGGAAGTTCTCGTCCAGCCGCTGCAGCACGGGGTTGATGAGTGTGTGGCCGAAGCGGAAGGCGGCCGTGGCGAAGGCATTGAAGATGCCGGCGTTCACGCCGGGCTGGTAACCACGGTAGGCGCCCAGCATGCGCATGCCCGCCTCGCCCAGCACCTTGGGCAGCCAGTGTGTGTAGGTGATGTGCTGCATCTGGGCGCCCACCACCTTGCGGGCCTCATGGTACAACGTGTCGCCATCCCAGTGGGGGTTCAGCGCCAGCAGCTCGGCCGCCACGCGGTTGTGCTCGCGGAACCACAGCGTGTGCATGCTGGTGAGCGCCAGCTGCTCGTTGGCCCGGTGGTCACCGGCCAGGAAGCAGGGGATGGGGCTCTCATTCTCGTCCCGCATGCACTCGGTGGGCGGCCCCGCAGCGAAGGGCAGCAGTGGCTTGCCGGACCGCTGCACGACGCCCTGGCGCAGCAGCCCGCGCTGGCCGGCCAGGTCCCGCAGCAGGCGGGCCTCGTGCTCCGAGCTACCATACACATTGGAGGCGTCGATGTAGGAGGTGAGCTGGTTGATCTGCTCGCGGGGCAGCACAGCATTCATGAGCAGTGAGGTCATGCCGCTGCCACACACAGGACTGGAGCGCACGAAGAACATGCAGCGGGCGCCGCCCCGCACGCGTGGGTCATTGGGTGGGATGGCCAGTGAGAAGCAGGGCGGCTCGTTGCCGCACACGGAGCTGCAGTGCTGGCCGTCAGAGAAGCGGGCCTGGCTCAGGGCAGCCACCGTGGAGTCCAGGTCGTGGTCCAGGAACTGGCCCCACTGCATCAGCATGTGTGTGAACTGGGCGTCGGGGGTCACGGCCTCGGTGCCAATGAGCGCAGTGGAGACCAGGCGCGGCATGGGCAGCGGGTGCCCATGGTAGCGCCGCTCGGGGCTGACGCCGCGCGGCGTGTTGAAGCCGTTCTCGTACACGGCGGTGAGCAGACGCTCGAAGGCGGTGAGCGAGGCGCCCCACATAGGGTGCTGCAGGTTGTTGCAGGTGCCGTCGTGCGTGCGGTACTTCTGGTGGAAGCACATGTCTGAGCAGTTGTTGACACGCCGGTGGGCCGTGCAGCCTGACAGGTTGGCGATCAGGCCTATGTACTGCGGGGACACCAGGTCGTTGTAGTGGTAGCCTGCAAGACAGGGCGTGGCTGGGACGGGCTGGGGCTTCTCAGGGGCTGGGGTGAGCGGGGTCCCTTGACCCATCTGCCTCATCTCCAGTCCCCACGCCCAGCGCCGACCACAGAGGCTGGCGGCAGCTCCTCCGAGACTGGGGTCTGCACACCGGCCTCTTGCGGCCCCGGGACCCCCCCCCCGCCGCCACACCATCCGGGGGCACAGGGGAGAGTGGGCGCTCGGGCGGGACAGCTGGAGCAGGGGCGGCCACTCAGCCCCCCACCACGACCTCCCGCCTGCCTCTGCTCCTCACACCCAGGATCTGAGAGCAAGACTCAATGACAACTGCGTCCTGACGGGAGACGCTCGAGCCAGAAAACAGACCAGATGCTGAAACCCGGCGGGGGCTCATCCTGCACCTGGCAGCCACGCCAGGTGTGTGTGCACAGGTGTGTGCCGTGTGCAACACCTTGAATAAAGAGCCCTGTGGGGCCTCCCTGGTGATGCAAGGGGTTGAGCACAGCACTGTGTAGCTACCCACAGGGCGCAGCAGACCTCTCCTGTCTCCCCGCTGCTCCCCTCAGCAGTGGATTTCAGTGGATCCACCTGTTCTGCTCCCCACTCTGTCTCTGGGGAGTCCTCTCACCCCCCACACCTCTGACCTGCACGCCAACTCTTGTATGCATAAATAAATATTTCAAAAAATTAAAAATAAAGAGCCCTGTTAAGAAGGAGCTTTCACACAGTCAGCAGGACCCCCACTGTGCACCTAGTACCCCCAGGGCCAGCCTGCACCCTGGGAGTCCCAGCCGGCATAGCAGGGCAGGGCCACCCACACCCAACAGCGCCCCTGCACGGATGCTCGCTGCTTCCCAGATGGGGCCCCCACGACCTCCCCCTGGGGGCACAGAGCAGGGCCACCGCCCACAGGGAGTGGCAGCATCAGGGAACAGGGTGGCCCTGCCCCACTGGGCCCCCAGGTGATGGCAGGTACTGACCGGTTCCGTTCAGGTCCACCATGAGGCCATGCCGCACGTGCTCCTGGATCAGCTGCAGCGTCCTCTCAAAGATCTCGCCGGCACGTGCCTGCTCCACGGTGTAGGGGTCCCGCGGGTACCGGAACAGGGCCAAGAGGTCATTGGGGCTGCGTGGCCGGCTGCGGGGGCACAAGGGGGCAGCGCTGAGCACGGGCACCCCCCCGAGGGCGTGGTCACGCATCAGGCGCTGCTGCTACTGAATCCGGGCGGGCAGTACTGTACCTGGCTCCTCCGTGCGGCAGGCAACACGCAAGCGAGAGCAAAGACACTAAACACAGACGGTTAGTCAGCCCCGGACACCGTCGCGTCAGCGGGGACTTGAGACCGGGCAGGGTACCGCTGCCGAGCCGCGCGGCAACAAGCGCAGGCCCGCATGTGAGCAGCCACACGCCGCGGGCGGGGAGCCTCCTCACCACCCCAGGAAACTGGACCCGGTTGTCAGGGATTTTAGTTAAAGGTTTTCTTCAGCCGCGCTGGGTCAAGACTACGAGACGGGGGCTCGCCCAGGTGGGTCCCCTCACCTTACCTGTCAAACAGGTGCGAGCGGGTCGAGTTGATAGCTCTGTCCACAGTCGCGATGGCCTCCACGATGGACGTGGCCACAAAGGGGTCCCCGTTCCGACTGACATCAGGGACTAGGAGACAAGGAGCCCCGGTCACCCTCAGGGCCCAGGAGCAGGGACACAGGTGGGGCCGGCAGACCCTGCCCACGCTGCTGCTGCCTTGAGCCGGCGCTTCAGACCCGCGCCAGATCTGCAGGAAGCTGGTCTCAGCGGCTTCAGCCTGGGAATCAGCCATGCGTTTGTTTGGAGGCCCCTGACACCCCAAGAGGAGCAGGAAACGCTGACGTTGTCCTGGCCGAGGACGGCCCCGAGGCCCGGGCAGCAGCCGCCTGCGGACAGAGCTGCAGGGCCTCACGCCCAGGCCTTGCTACAGTTGCCCTCGGATGCCCAGGACCATCATGCCTACCCGCGGCCTGACCCTCCGCTGTCTGCACGTGTGAGGCTCACACACCCTCGTGTGCAGGCTCCCAGTACAAGGTACCCTTGTGCACACTCACTTGCGCAGTGATGCACACGCACGCATGCACCCTCACCCGTGCCCCGGAGCCTCTGTCCCCCTCCTAGGGCCCCTCTGACCCGCATGCCACGCCCCAAGCACACGCTACGGCCACGTCGAGTGGCCTCACCCTTCCCAGCCTGTGAGCTCCCGACGCAGCTCAGCCGGGCCACCAGCATCACCGGTCACCCCCCAAGGGCAGGGAACGGCTTCCTCTTCAACACTGATCTTTCCGTGGGCCTGACACTGCAGTGGCCTCAGTGGGGGACCCCCTCGGCCTGGGCCCCTGCCCCCACCAGGGACACACATGCCATAGCTCAGACACGGCCGGAGTGGCCAGCGGTGCCAGCCTCGTGATTTGTGCCACAGAGGTGGCAAATGACGCCGCTGTTCACAAGACTTCACGATGCCCAGATTTCATCACCATCAACGCTCTAAGTTAGATTTACTTTGCTCTAAGCAGCAGCCGCAGGAAACGTATCTGTGTACGTTAAAAAACAAACGAGAGCCTCTAATCCGGCCAAGTGGCTACTTCAGGGCTGAGGCTGCGGGCTGGACGCGACTCCCAGCCTCACACACAACTCATCACGCTGCAGCAGCGCTACTCCTCAAGCATGGAATCAAGTATCGAGCAGGCAGCGTGCTCACGCCCCAGGGCCGGTCATCAGCACGTGCGTGGTGCCGGCTGTGGCCAGGTGGCGCCCGAGTGCCAGGCTCACGAGGGCCCCGGGGTCACCGGCTGGGCAGGCAGACTGGGCGGGAAGGCCAGAGGTGGCATCCCGCATGACGCCTAGGCGGGGCTGCGGGCTGGGCACGGAGTTGGGGTGCGGGTCGTGCCCGGGAGACGGGGGCAGCCTCGGGTCTACCGCAGAGGGGCATGCCAAGGGCAGGGGCTCCAGGCTGGTGCAGGCAGTGCAGGGCCGTCGGCAGGCCTGGGACTGCTGAGGTGGGGGACGGCTTGCCGGGGAGGGCTTGGACGTTCAACCGCAGCCAGGCCTGAGCACCCCAGAACACATGGGCGGAGAGCACAGCTGGGCAGACCGTGCAGCAACGGCCATGCCTCCCACAGCGGCCAAATCACAGCTAGGGGGTCGAATGGGGGACCCCAAAGCAGCCAGCGATCGCCGGCGGAGGGCGCCCCCAGAGAGAACAACACGCAGGTGCGTCCTAGGAACATGAGGCGGCAGCGCAGGCTGAGCGTCTTTGCAAGGGCCCTGCCTCCGCGCCCGGTGCCCCCCACCCCACCCCGGGCTCTCTGGCCTGCAGGCCCTGCTGCTGCCCTGGGCGGGCAGCTCCGGCAGCTCACCGTTCACACTGAGGACCACGCTGACCGCCGCCTGCCCGATGGTGCTCCGGGCCACGCACTCGTAGCGGCCGGCATCCGCCGTCCCCACGTCATTGATGGTCAGAAACCCCTCGGGGCTGACGTGAAACTTCCCGCTTTCTGTCACCTGGACCCCGTCCTGGAGCAAAACAGAGAGAAGTGCAGGGGGAGCCCCACTGTGTGCAGAATGGGGTGTGGGGGGGCACACTGAGCAGTGGACGCCAGGCCCAGCAGAGGCCTGGGCGGCTGGAGCCACGGCAGGCAGGCCGGCAGCGTGGCTCCTTGGCCGGGCGGGGGCGAGCTGGGCTGTGCGCAGGCTCCTCCTGGCCCCTGCCGCGTGGCCACCCGGCCAGCAGCCGCCCGCAGGGAAGAGCGTGGCAGAGGCCAAGCAGGGCCTGCTCCGGGACCATCCTGTGTGTCCACATCCCCTTTGTCAGCACAGCCCAAGACCGCCGGGACCCGCCGGCTGTTGCTGGCTGCGACAGGACACCGCAGCACCACCGCGTACCTTGTTCCAGGTGATGGCCGGCTCAGGCTCGCCCTGTGCGCTGCAGGGCAGCTGCGTGTTGGAGCCCACCTCCACCGTCACGTCGCTCGGGGTGCTGGTGAACACCGGGGTGACTGGAAGGCAGGAGTGCGGCCCGTCAACGTGGGGCCCCGCAAGCCCGGAGCTGCGCCAGAGCTCAGAGCAGGGAGCCCCGTCTGGGCAGCCCCAGGGCCCGGGGCCCTTGGGCACGGTCAGCCAGGGACCCCCATGGGGTACACGGGGCAAGGGAGCAGGGACACTGCCCCCCGGGCTCCGCCATCCACAGCCTGATGCACCGGCAGCCCTGCGAACCCATCGGCGCAGGGGCCGGCACCCGGGCCCGGCTCAGGGCCAGCACGCCAGTCAGCACGCCGGATGGACGAGCCTTCCTCTCGCCACCCTCAGCGCTCGCCCTCCCCGCTGGGCCGGGAGGGTCAGGGGCCATGGGGCGCTTTGTCAGAGCCGCCAGGAAAGCCGCGGCAGAAGCTTCAGCAGCCAGGCTGCTCGGGCACGTCGGCCAGAGCAGAGCAGGCTCAGCGCTGCCAACAGTAAGTGACATCACGTACGGGGGGCCGAGGAGCTGCACTGCCAACACATGGGATGTGGACACAGGTGGGCACCGACTGGCATGGACTGGCACAGACTGGTATGTCCTGGCACAGGTGGGCACTGACTAACATAGGTGGGCACCGACGGGCATAGGTGGGCACAGAAGGCATCAACTGGCACAGCCTGGCACAGATAGGCATGGAGTGGCACGGGTAGGCACAGACTGGCACAGCCTAGCAATGACTGGCATGGACTGACAAAGCTTGGCATGGACGGCTCAGATGGGCACAACCTAGGATGGCCTGGCACAGCCCAGCACAGACTGGCATGGCACAGCCTGCGTGGACTGGCAGATGGGCATGGACTGGCACCACCTGGCATGGCCTGGCAGAGTGGCACAGAGTGGCACTGCCTGGCATGGACTGGCACAGGTAGGCACAACCTTGTATGGCCTAGCACAGCCCAGCACAGACTGGCACACTTGGGCACAGGTGGACATGGAGTGGTACAGGTGGGCACAGCCTGTATGTCATGGCACAGCCTGCATGTACTGGCAGATGGGTACACTCTGGCATGGAGTGGTATGGCCTGGCAATACTGGCACTGCCTGGCACAGGTGGCACCTACTGACACAGCCTGGCATGGACTGGCACAGGTGGGCATAGCCTGGCACATGTGGGCACAACCTAGTATGGCCTGGCGAGCCTGGCACTGAGTGGCACAGGCTGGCTCAACCTGGCACAGAAGGCACATGTGGCCTTAGGTGGGCACAGAGTGGCACAGGTGGGCACACTGCCACAGACTGGCACACATGGGCACAGGTGGCACATACTAGCACAGGTGGGCACAGACAGCACCGGTGAACAGTCCCAGCCCAGGAAGCAAGCAGGGCACACGGGGGTCGTGGGACGCAGAAGCCTGTCCTGGATCGGCCAGGCCAGGAAGGGCCAGCATAGCTCACCCGCCGCCCCCTGCCGCCCCCTGCTGCCCCGCGGGCCGCCAGTCCCCACCTCTGGGCTGCACCGTCAGGTGGGCCACGACCCTCTGGGAGCCGATGATATTGACGGCCTGGCACTCGTATTGGCCCTGGTCGTGCAGACGGACGTCCGAGATCCGCAGCGTCCCGGACGACAGCACCAGGTGGCGTCTGTCCACGGAGAGCTGGCTCCCTGCAAGGCGGCCCATTAAGGCTGGGCAGCGCTGCCCTCGGCCAGCAAACACTCGTCACAGGGACGCCCTCGATGCCATCCTGCTCAATGGCCTGCAGCCACCCCGGCCCCTCCTCTAGCTGGTGTCTGGGGAGCAGCGTCCTGGATGGGACGGCGGGCTGGGCTCCGACCTGGAGTGCAGGTAGCCATCTCGATGCCCCATCCCTCAGGCCTTGCCCAGAGTTTCTGAGCTTTCGGAAGTGCCCAGTGCTTGGGTGGGGGCCCCCTGGGACGCGTTTGTGCCCTGCTGGGCATTGCCGCCTCCAGGTGGCCTGTGGTGGCCACCGCCTGCCCGGGCCTGCCCTCCTGCAGCCTCGCCCAGGCCTGGCCCTGACAGCCCTGAGTCCCCATGGCGGCGAGCCTGGCCTCTCACCTCCTTTGGTCCAGGCGATGACCGGCTGTGGGTAGCCCTTGGCCTCACATTGGAAGTCAACCGTCTGCCCCTCGATGACAACTCTGTCCTGGGGGGTCACGGTGAACTGAGGAAGTGCTTTGAGAGAGAAACAGGAGCCGCTGAAGACAGCGCTGGGAGCCATGCAGCCGGGGTCGACGAGAGCCGGCCGGGCAGGGACGGGCGAGACTCGCACTCCAGGGCCAGCATGGCCAGGCCTGGTGGCCTCACCTTGCACGATGATGAGGGCGGAGGCCTGCACCCGGTCCACGCTGTTGGTGGCGAAGCAGGTGTACTCGCCGCTGTCCTCCTGCACCACCTCCTGGATGTACAGCCCACCAGACGGTGTGATACTGACCCGCGGGTCCTCGGGCAGCGGTGTGCGGTCACCCCTCGTCCAGCTGATGTGCGGCGGGGGGTGGCCGGTGGCGCTGCACTCCAGTGTGACGCTCTCCCCCACCAGCACTTCCGTGTTCTGGGGCTGGATCACAAAGGCTGGCCGAGCTGCGCCGGAGCAGGTGGGTGAGCCCCAGCCCATCTGGTGGGGCCTCCTGCCCGCACACCCTCACACACACTCACACACACACACACACTCTCTCTTTCTCTCTCTCTCTCTCTCTCTCTCTCCAGGGCCTCCTACCCGCACACTCTCACACCCTCTAGGGCTTCCTGCCCGCACACCCTCACACACACTCCAGGGCCTCCTGCCCGCACACCCTCACACACACTCACACATACACACACACACACACACACACTCTCTCTCTCTCTCTCTCTCTCTCTCTCCAGGGCCTCCTACCCGCACACCCTCACACCCTCTAGGGCTTCCTGCCCGCATACCGTCACACACACTCCAGGGCCTCCTGCCCACACACCCTCACACTTTCTAGGGCCTCCTGCTCTCACATCCTCACACACACGCACGCACATACACACTTCCAGGGGCCACCTGCCCACAAACCGTCACACACACACCCTCCAGGAGCCTCCTGCCCACACACCCTCACACACACCCTCCAGGGGCCTCCTGCCCACACACCCTCACACACACCCTCCAGGGGCCTCCTGCCCGCACACCCTCACACACACACCCCCTCCAGGGGCTTCCTGCCTGCACACCCTCACACACACCCTCCAGGGGCTTCCTGCCCATACACCCTCACACACACACACCCTCCAGGGGCTTCCTGCCTGCACACGCTCACATACACACTACCCATAGGGTCCTTCCAAGGACAGAGGCCCATGGGGCTCGGGATAAAGCCAAACGGGCCTGTGATGGCCAATACCCCAGAGTCACACAGCTGATGCCTCCTGTGGACAGCGGATTCTGAGCCGCATCAAAGAAGGAAAACCCTCGAGGGGTGACGAGAGAGAAGTGACCAGCGAGAGGCCACGGCCGCCATCTGCTGGGCGGAAGAGGGAAAAATGCCGAGTGATTCGGGACGGAGGGAACGAAACGGGGTATGTGGGAGAGGAAGACTCAGAGACCCCGCCACGTCTCTGTGCCTGCTGAGCTCAAGCCTGGTAGTCAGCACGTCACGGCCGCTCATGGGAGACCGGGTGGGGGGGTGTCTTGGGCCGTGCGGTCAGAGAGCAATGTAGGCCGCACCCCGGGGCTTTCACCCGCTCCCTGGGAGACACTGAAGCGTGGGGCCACCCACGGGGTCTGGACAAAAACCGCGCTGGGCGGAAGGGAAGCAGGGTGGTGGGCAGAGGCCCGCAGCCAGCCCTGCCCGCCCCGCCCAAGTGTCCGGCTGAGAGGGGAGGGTCAGTCTCATTTTAGGCCTCATTTGGCACAGGTGAGGCTGAAGGAAATCGAGAGCAGAGCCGACAGCCCCGGGGGGTGGGGATGCAGGCCGCTGGGAGGCCGAGACAGGGCGGTCAGCTTTATGGTGGGAGGGGTGCCCGTGGCAGGAGAGGAGGCGCCGTCTACTAGGGGGCGGGCAGGCGATGGCACACGGGGGCCTGCGGACGAGCCACAGCACCTAGGACCGCCACTGGGGAGTAAGCATAGGTGCACCTTGCGAGACAGGCCACAACTGCAAGAATGGTTACTCCAAAACCAGGCCAAAACCACAAAAAGCAGGATAAACAGCCCTAAATAAGTCCGAGGCCTCTCGTGCAAGTGGCGGCTAACTAGGACAAGGGAATGAACTTACTCTACAGTACACAGGAAGCCTCAGAGCAAAATGGCAGAAAACAAGGAGCACCGGCTGAGTCTGCCAAGCCCAGGGCGGGAGCGCTGGCAGCCAGAGCAGTGTTAACTACCGAGAAGGGAATTCGCGAGCGTTGCGGGCTGGGTGCCCTGGCGAGGGCTGTGAAGGCCAAAGCTGCCTGACCCAAAGTACCTGAGGGTCACTTCCTGCATCTTGGCCTCCCTGGCCGCATTCTTGGCCATGCACGGCAGGTGTGCAGCCAGCGGGGCCAGCCCGCGGGGAGGGCCGAGTGCGTGCAAGGAGGCTCAGCCCCGCTGCTGCAGAACGAGGGCCACAGGCAGGGGAAGCCGACCCCGTGTCCAGATGCTGTCCCTGGGTCCTGTGGCCGCACCAAGCCCCAGCCTGGCCCTCCTGGATCCATGGTCCCCAGCAGGGAGAGCCACCAGCTCATGGGACAGAGGTCTGGGCCCCAGAGGGTAGGATTCCAACTGCTTGCCCACAAGGGCTGCGGCAGGGCCTGTGCCCTGGGGCAACCAGCCGAGGCTCGGTGCAGCCTGTGCCTCCTGCTTGGCCCGGACGTGTGGTCGCTCCAGAGACAGAGCCGACAGTGCCCGGGCAGGGATAAGCCGGCACCCTGCGCCCATCCACACAGCCAGGGGCCGGGGGAGATGCTAAGGGAGGGTGGGGCCCTGGGGCGGTGCCGGGCCCCCCCCCAGGAAAGTGCGGGGCACCCCGGCGCAGAGCGGGCTCCATAGCTTCTGGCTGGGAGGACGTGTCCTATGGATGCAGGATCCGGATCCCCCCCATAGAGCCCCTGGCAGGCCAGACCGCATCCCCACATAGCCGGCAGCTGCTGAGCAGACCGGCCCTCTGGACACTGAGTGCCCAGCATGCCCGCCGGGACTGCCTCTCTGGGTGTCCATCCTGGGTGAGCGGCTGACCGTGCCAGCGCCTGGCCAGGAAACAGCACGATTCTGGCAGCGCAGGCCGCCGGCTCTGGGCCTGCCCAGGGGACCTGGAGGGGGCGGGGGAGGAGCGCAGGGAGACACTGGCCACCTACCTGGGGACCCAAAGTACCTGAGGGTCACTTCCTGCGTCTTGGCCTCCCCGGCCGCGTTCTTGGCCATGCACTGGTACACGCCCTGGTCAGTCTCCCGCGTGTTCTGGATCATCAGGGTGCCATCGCCCAGCAGGTTGAGGCGTGAGTCCGAGCGCATGCTCAGCTCATTGCTGCGGGGACAGTGTGTGCTGGTCACCGGCTGGCCCGCCCTCCCTGGCACCCCAACCCCCGCGTCCGCGGAGGGCTGGGGCCGCACCCACCCGGGCAGGCGCTCAGCTCCACGCCGGCTGTGCGGGTTTTAAAGTCCCATCCTGATTCCAAGGGGAAAATGAACAGTGGAAAATATTCCAAGGAAACATATTCCACTGATTTTGGCAAATTAACTCCAGATAATGGGGGAGAAACGCATCTCCCCAGCGACACCGCCCCCACACTGCTGGCGCTAAAGGCCAGGGAGGCCCCTGGGGGTGAGGCCGGCCCGCTGGGACCTGGCACGGTGTGGGGGAAATGGGTGCAGTGTGGGCCCGCGGGGGCAGGGGGGCGAGATAGGGGGTGGGGACAGGCGCAGGGGAGTGGCGCAGGCAAGGGACGCAGGGCCAAGCGCACTCACTTGTTCCGGAGCCAGATGATCTCAGGCTTGGGGTTGCCCTCGGCCCTGCAGGTGAAGAACACGGTGTTTCCCAAGGTGACGTCTGCGTCCTGGGGCTCCGAGGTGATCCGGGGTCTTTCTGTGCCAGCAAGAGAAGGAAAAGTTCTGGGTCTCAGGCTTCGAGCAAAGCAAAGACCCAAACCAAACCCTGGGCCCAGGAAAAATCCGCGCAAGCCTGGCCCGAGGAAGCCAGGCCCCGGGGCACCTCCTGGAACCCAGCAGCTGGCTGCCGCTGACGAGGCTGGCCTGGCCGTCCACCCAGGAGGAGGGGCGGGTCAGCAGAACAGTGACCCTAGCTCTGGCCTCCCTGACAGCAGCACCCCTGTGTCCCCGTCCTGGGTCAGGGAGGGCCTCCCAGCCTGGGTCCATCCCCTGCTGCCTTTCGCTAGCAGCTTCATCCGCACAACCACGGGTGCTGTCCAGGTGTGCGTATCCACAGGGGCCGGAGCACTCCAGGTGACCAGTGAGCCCTGGGGACAGCCAGGTCACTGTCCAAAAACTCTGATCACGAGGACCTAGTCACTAATTGGACCTCTGAGGAGTGGAACAGAAAGGGCCATATCCACAGGAGCCCCGCCCTGCCGGCCCCGCCCCCACGGGAGGGTTTCAGCCCCCGAAACAGAGGGGCTTGGGGGCCGGGAGAGGTGGGGGTCCTGCTTTCAGGGACCCTGAAGCCCAGCAGCAGCTTCCTAGACGCTCCAGGGCTAACGGTGTGGCCGGGGCGCCCACTCACCACAGTCCAGCTCTTCGGGGGTAATGGTGGCCACGGAGCGGCCCTGGATGCGGCGGGGGTGCTCGCAGGTGGCGGCGGCCTGCGCGTTCCCGACTGCGCGTAGGCCTTGAGCAGGTCGGCCAGCCACAGGATCTCGCAATCGCAGCGGAGCGCGTTGGAGTCCAGGCGCCTGCGGGGCAACCAGTGAGAAGCCGGCCAGGGCGTAGGGGGCCAGGGCGTAGGGGGCCCGGGGGTGGGACGGCTGGGGTGGGGCGCCGGGGTGGGACCCCAGTAGGAGGGGCCCCCAAGGAAGCTCTAATGTGGGTCTGCTCCACACCCCGGGGTGCAGGTGGGCGGGCCCTCTGTACCCCTCACGCGACCCGGGGAGACTCACAATCTTTTCATCGACTCCAAGTGACTGAACGTCCCGGGGGCCAAGTGTGTGATCCGGTTGTTATGCAGGAACCTGGGGGAGCACAATGGGCCTTGGAGACTCTGGGGCCCCAAACGGGCCACGCCACCCGCATGGCCACTGCTCCACGCGTCTCCGCGCCGTGGTCTGAGCACAAGGTGACGGAGCAGCAAAGTGCTGGATTCGGCCTCCTTCTGCCCCATGTCCACAGTAAGAGGAGACCCCTCTGTGCTGAGCGGCTGCCCTGGGGGGAAGGGGGTACCCTTGGAGGGGGACAAAGAGGGAGGGGAGGGGCACCCTGGGGTGGGAGGCAGGGGCTGGCGCCCCACTGGGGGCAGGCGGGGCCACTTACAGCCTCTCCAGCTTAGGCAGGTGCTGGAAGGACTCGGGATCCAAGGTCTCTATCTGGTTGAAGTGCAGGTACCTAGAGAATTTCAAACAGAGGAAAAGCAACACAAGCTGGACCCGGCCACTGCCCACGTGCCCAGGCTCCTGGCAATGTGTCTCTACGTCACTTCAACATGTATGGAGAGAGCCGGAGTCTCCTCCCTCATGGAGGAAACACAGGTGCGCAAGAGGTGGCACTGGCGAGTGGTGGTGCCAGCGGCGAGGGCCACACCCACCCGTCTCCTCACACTGGGAGACCCACGTGGGCCTTCCCTGAGACACGGGGCCTGGCCAGGCACACATGTCGGCACCGGACCCCCAGCCACTGCCCTTTGATGTGTGCAGCTGGGGACCCACAGGGGGCCGGGACATGGTCTGGGTGCCCTGGGTGCTGTGCAGCCCCAGACTTCCTGCCCTCCCGGTTAGGGGTCGCCTTCCTTCCTGTCTTCACTCGTTGCGGCTCAACTTTCCTCTCGTCTTCCCAATTGCTGCGTCCCTCCCTTCGGAAACCAGCGTTTGCCCTTTGAGCCGAGCTCAGTCACCTTCCAGCCGGCCGCCCCGACAGCCCCCGCGTCAGGTCCTGGAGGACGCTGGGGACGAGAGCTTGCCCAGGCCCGGCTTGGGGGCACCAGGGCCCCCCCAGGAACCCACACGGGACTCACTGTCCACTCAGAGACTCGCACTGGCTCCCAGACGCCAAGAGTCTGCTGCCCCGGCCAGTGCGGCCCCGGGGCGCCAGGAGACCGGCCTCAACAACTCAGCAGGTGAGTGGAGCAGGGCCAGCGGATACCACGCAGCGATGCCGAGGACAGGGGCACAGTGCCAAGACCGCGGGCCCCCAAAGGCCACCACAGAGCAGATTGCAGACAGACACGCAGGGCCAGGCGGGCCGTGCAACTCCGAGACCCATGGGTGGGCAGGGAGAGGGGCGTGGCCCCACTCGGAGGCCCTCGCTGGACACTGCAGTGCTGCAGGGTACACGGGGTGGCGGGACTGGGCCCTGAGCCTGAGATCTGGCCGCCTGCAGTACCTCCACCCTCCTTAGGGCAGACGGAGGCCAGGAAGGTCCCCTCATCCAGTGTGGCACCCTGGTACTGGTGTGTTTGTGGGCGTTCAGGGGCCCCCATCCTGAGCTCGGGGTGCTCCAGGCCAGCCCACCCAGGCGCCCCTCCTGACCCCATGTCAGCGTCTGCAGGCGCCAACTGAGCCCTGCCCAGCCCACAGGCCAGCACCACCAGGGCTCAGCTGCCAGAGGGTGGGGCACTGTCCCCACTGCCACCACCCACATTCACAGAGCTGCGGCCCGAAGCCCCTCGCCTGGCCGGGACCCGCTCACCGTGGGGCAGCGCCGGAGATGCCAGGCCCATCAGGCTCAGCCTCCTCCTCCCTGCACACACCCCGTGCCCGCTGCAGCTGGCCCCATGCTGCTCACACCCCATGACCACGAGTGGGGCACTCCGCTCGCCGCCCCTTCACGAGTGCAGGACGCCAGTGCTCCCTCCTCCTGCAGGCTCTCAGGCCCTGGGCATCCAAGGGACCCTCAGACTGCACCTATGGCCTGCCCAGGGCCGCCCTCCTTGGCCATGGCCACGCCGCCCCCAGCTCTGCCCGCCTCTGTGGGCAGGTCCCAGCCAGTGGCAGTACGGGGCCTGGGCAGCTGCAGCAGGGGGCCCGGGGCCCTACCTGAGGGAACCGCTGGCTCCTCCGTGAAAGGAGGAACAAGCCAGGGAAACCCTCTTCCGGGGAATCCTGCTTAAGACGGACGCGCCGACCTCAGCGGAGGACGTAGCGGGAACCACGTCTCATGATGCCTGGAAATGCGTGAGGAGGCCGCATTCCCTCCAAGTACGGATGTCAGTGTGGAGAGAGCACTCTGGGGGCACGGGGGTTCTGGCGGGCAGCCCGGCCCATCGGCCCCCCAGGCCCAGCCCAGGCCTGCGAGCTTGCGTCCCCCGGCAGGCCGAGGCTCCTGGTCTGTGCGTGGCAAGGGTGGGGCGGCCGGAGCCCAGGCGGCCGAGCCCCCATGCACACCCGGCGCCCGCAGCTCGCGCACCATGCATGCCCGGCGGCCGCGGAGGCGGAGCGGCCAAGACCCCGAGGCAGAGAGCAGAGAAGGGCACTTACAGTTGTTCTAGGGAGGCAAGTCCCTTAAACGCTTGCCTGTCAACTGACTGGATCTCATTCTTGTACAAATAGCTGAAAACAAGAAACAGGGGGTTAGTGCACGAGCAACACGGAGAGAACAGCCAACGTGCGGTGGCTCTGACCTCACGCGCCTGGCACGGGCCACTGCCCAGACGCCCCGCCGGTCGCGTGCGCCAGCGTCTGCCCGAGCAGGAGGAAACAGCCCTCTCCCCAGCAAGTGCTGGCGGCAGGCAGGGCTGCAAGGACACACTCAGGGCCGGGGTGGGGCCGTGGCGGGTGGGGTACGCCTGGGGGCCGCCCTCAGAACCCCGCTCCTACGTTTCAGATGACAATTTCAAAGGAAATTACGTGAAAATTACATGAAATGCCAGTTTCAGTGTCCACAGCTGGTTGGGTGGCACTCGGCCACGGCCAGCACCGGTGGGCTCTGCAGCAGCTGGGCCTGGGCGCGGCTCTGGATCAGGGGCTTCCAGCCCAGATGGGAGACATGGGGACGGGCGGCGCCCTGATTGCAGCCAGCACTCACGCCCCGCAGCTCCCGCCAAACGCACCCTGTCCATGGCGCTGCACGAGGGAGCTGGGTCCCTGCCCCCTCCCCATTGCTCCCCCTCCCTGCAGGCGGGTTTCTGTGCCCTCCTGGGGGCCCAGCTGCCCAAGATGAGCCAGAAGAGACGTCCTCAGCGGAGCCTCCCCGCGTCAGTGACCCGGCCGCCCACTCGCCGCCTGGCTGTCTCGGAGGAGCCGGATGAAGCTCTCCCTGCAGGGCACAGAGCGCCCAGGGGCCGTCAGGCGCCTGCAGCCCAGAGGACGTGGCCAGAGGGGGCTGCGCAGCGGGTGCCCACTGACTGCACCAGCAGGCCCTTATCTTGGAAGCCTGAGCAGCAGCGGGCCAGCACAGGCTCTGTGCAGGGAGGTCCGTGCGGCCACAGCCCCGCCCCGGGCCCGGACTGGGAGACCCGCGCCCTAGCGCCTGAGGCACCGCAGGGACGGCCTCTGCTGCCAGGACAGGAGCCTGGACCGCGCCGAGCTGGCCGTCGGAGCACACGCTCCGGCCAGCACAGGAGTCAGGGCATCGTCAGGAGCGCCCAGCCGAGGCTCAGCAGGGGCAGCTGCGTCACCGCAGCTCCGGCCGGCCCGCGGCTGGGGCGAGCGCAAGGCTCCGCGTGGGAGTGGGGTGTCTGGGGGGCCGCATCAGTGGCTGGGGCCAGGGCGCCGCCGCGACCCACGTCCTCCCAGCTGCCGCCCACCCCCAGGCAGCAGGATGGGCTTTGGCGGAGGAGGCAGCCAACTTGGACTCTCGCAGCCTGACCCAGCAGAGACCCCCCCCTAGGAGCACCCAAAGCCCTCCCTGCCAGCCGTGTGCTGAGTCACGGGTAAGTCGCCCCTCAGCCACCGAGCCTGCCCCCAGGCCCCGCTCCGGAACGCGCGGACTCCAGGAAAAAGAGGAAAGGAACAGCAGCCCAAAGGGTATGTGGACGACCCGCGTCTCATTTCCAAAATGAGCGATGACAGAATCAGCGCTCAGCCACGCGGAAATCGCGGAGAAGTTACGGTCACGCCTCGAATGTCTCCACTGGGGAGACGGAGCTTCGTAACCGGGTTGAAGTCACTGCGGTGAGAAGCTCGGGCCCGACATCGGCTGTCACGGGAGCCTTGACATCAGCCCCAGCACGGCGGCGGGGATGGGGCAGAGAGGGGTCCAGGCGACGCGACCCCTACCCCTTGGGGTCCCGGCCTCGGGCGGGCGAGCTGAGCGCCGGACACCCCGCAGCACGGCCGTTTCCTAAGCTGCAGAGCTGACTTCAACAAGCAGGGGTTTGAACGGCGACGGCCCCACCGAAAACCATTTTTAAAGGTAAGAAAATCACACGCACATGCGCGCGGGAGACGGGGTCAGCAGCCAGGCGCCCACACGCCCCTCCGGGCTCGGACGTCTGCTGCGCCGGCCAGCTCCCAGCCTCCTCACTCACCCTGGGAAAGCGAACGGCCACTGGGGAACTCAGGGCGTGGTCGGGGCCAGCCAGACAACATGAGCTTTGGGGTGCAAGGCGGGTCGTGAACTTACAGGTATTTCAGGTTCTCTAAGTCCTCGAAGGCCCCGCTGGGTATGCTCTTGATCTGGTTGTTGTTGAGAAGCCTGCGGGCGAAGGTCCAGGCGGTGAGCTAGGGGGCAAGACTGCGGCCCTAGTGGGGGCGCCATAGGCCTCACAGCTGGTTCTGGGTTTGTGCCCAAGGGGGTCTCCCCACCCCACAGTGCTATCCTGGGGGTGCCGGGGAAGCCGCAGGCCCGAGTCCAGCAGAGGCCAGCGCAGGCACCAGGACACTCGCAGCCTAACAGAAGGGACAGGCTGGGTGCCCGGGAAGCAGAGGGCCACGTGGCTGCTGGCTGGCCTGACCCGAGGGGTGAGGGGTCAGGGGCTAAGCCAGCAGCTAGGACACTCCTGATGGACCTGCCCGCCCAGCCAGGCCCTGGCCACAGGCCGCACCCTCGGGCTGGGCCCCGCCCACGATGTGCTCTCTGCGCTGCCCTCAACGACCGACTCACAGCGTGTTCAGGCTCCTCAGCTTCTGGAAGGCCCCGGGATGGAGCTCTCGGATCCTGTTGAAGCGAAGATCCCTGCAGAGAAGAAGGCACAGGTCAGCCGGCCAGGCGGGGACAAGCCAGGGAGCAGGCGGGGGGTGGGGCAGACGGATGGATGACGCACAGACAGACGGTCAACAGGACACGGAGACAGACACAGAGACCCCCGCGACGGTGCAAGTGTGTGTGTCTGCATGTGCACGTGTCCGTGTGTCTGTGTGTGTCTGCACATGCGCGAGTGTGTGTCACACGCTAACGGTTTCCTGGAGTGCTTGGGAAATGCGTCATTTGTTTTGTTATGTCTATCTGTGTTTTCACATTTTTCTTGCGTGCACATGTACGACTGGCATAAAAACTATTTTTAATGCTGTAAAACAAAAACAGGGAGGCTGGCGTAAGGCTGTGGGGGCAGCGGCTGTTCCGGCCGGCCGACTCCCGCAGCTGTGCTTCTGGCCGCGCCCACACAGGGCCCCCAGGCAGAGGTGGATTTCCAAAGACCTTGCAGGCGGCCCTGCGGGCCCCCCGCCTGGAGACCCAGGAAGGCAGGTCGGGCAGGCGCGGCACAGGCGGGCAGGCCGCAGGGCCGTCCAGGCCGGGCGTCAGAAGTGCCAATTCCCAGTTTCCAGGAACCGACCGTCCAACCAGCAGTAAGGGCCCCTCCTCCCTCCCCCCAATCCCCCACGCACCCTTTCTCCCCAGGGTCACCAGGACCCTGTGATACCAGTCGCGCTGGGACGGCTCCTGACCTGCCACTGCAGACGCCTGCCCAGCCGCCCGTGGAGGGCGCCCCGACAGCCCGCCAGGACACTCCAACCTCCTCGTGGCCACAGCGGGTGTTTCCGCGTAACCGGGGCCCGTGGCCCAGGCACATGCCGCCAACTCGGTGGACGGCTAGTGTGAGCGGGGCGGGGTGCCGAGCCAGGGGGAGGCTGGGGGGCACAGCACCCAGGGGGGAGCAGGCTGCTGCTGCCGTCACATCCCCTTCTGGGCACCTGGACGACACTCGCCAGGCCCCTGCAGCCAGGTGGAGTGTGGGACCAGCATCCACCCAGCAATGACCTGTGCAGCGGCCGGAGCAAAGAGCTTGGTGGGCAGGGCTGGACGCAGGGCAGCTCGCAGCGTGGCCAGAGCTGAGGGGCGAGGAAGACACCCATAGTCCCCTCTACTGGCCGGGCCCTGTGCCAGGCCGGACCCGACACCCTGGCAGCCCTGGCCCGAGCTGGGCGATGCCCCCCATCGGGGTGCGTGGCTGTCAGCACCTCACTCTCGTCTTGCTACTTTCACCACACTTTGTTGACAAGAACCTAAAGAACGTCTTAAAATGACCGAAAGAAGGAGTAGATGCTTGGACAAGTAGGAAGAGAGACCAGACCTGCTCCCCCAGGAAGCTGCTGGAGTCCAGAGACAACTGTTTACAAAATACGCGGCCAGGCAGCAGCCTGAGACCAGAGGACGCTGGGGTCTGCGGACTCGACGGCCCTAAGGCACCAGGGAAAAGAGAATCCTGGCTGCGGGCACTCGGCCTGGCCATGCTCAGACTGACCACGCTCAGACTGGCCACACCAGCCTGGTCACCGCCCATGGGCAGCAGGCCAGCAGAGGAAATGAAATGCGAAGGGGAGGAAGGGGAGCAGGCGCAGAGCAGAAACCCACAGTGCAGAGGGCAATGGAGGGGAAGTCATGGACGTGGGGGGCAGTGTCGACAGGGACGGGCCAGCCAGCCAACCCTACAGGCAGGCTGAGGACACGCACCTCAGTGCCAGCGACACAGGGGGTTGGGCCACACAGACCCGAGGCTGAGAGCGGGGCGGTGCTCAGGGAGCACCCCCAGCTGCCTTGGCGGTCGCAGCACCAACAAAGGGGACACAGGCCCAGGCCAGCCAGGCGCCTGACCAGGAAGCACCACCAACCGCACGGAGAACTCGAGCCATACCCGCCCACCCTCCAGAGCCCAGCGGCGAGTGCTCCTCCATCCCGCCCAGCACCCAGACCACAGCACAGGGAGCAGGCCCGGGAGCCCTCTGGACACAGGCCCTCACCTGCACGGGGGCCAGCAGGAGGGAGGACACCAGGGAGGGAGGACCACCAGGAGCATCGCCAGGGAGGGGGGACCTCCAGGAGCCTCACCAGGGAGGGGGACCTCCAGGAGCATCACCGGGGAAGGGGGACCTCCAGGAGCATCACCAGGGAGGGGGGACCTCCAGGAGCATCACCGGGAAGGGGGACCTCCAGGAGCCTCACCAGGGAGGGGGATGTCCAGGAGCATCACCAGGGAGGGGGACCTCCAGGAGCCTCACCAGGGAGGGGGACGTCCAGGAGCATCACCAGGGAGGGGGACCTCCAGGAGCATCACCAGGGAGGGGGACCTCCAGGAGCATCACCAGGGAGGACCGCCAGGGAGGAGATCACAGGGGAGGGTCATACCCTGAGGGTGGAGGTGGTGTCACGGGGTGGGCAAATTGTCGGCTTTACCAAAGCGGACGTGTTACGTGCAAGCATCTTTTCAAGGCCAGCCGTGTCTCGAGAAGGTTTTTCTCGTAAGTGGAAATTCCTGGGACAAAGGTCAGCGGGGAGAGCTTGTGCGCTGAGGGCTGCTCAGACGGCACTGCTGGACTCAGGCCCAGCTCTTCAGGTGGACGCAAACAGGCAGTGACTCAGCAGGCCCACGCTTGGCGGCGGGTGAGGGGGGGTTGCTGCTGGGGATCCTGAGCCCTCAGAGCAGAACAAGATGCCCCCGTCCGGGGCCAGGCCAGGCAGGAGGGGCTTATCCTCAGCCGGGCGAGGTCCTCTGGGGCCCCTGCACCCTTTCTCTGGGTGCCAAGGAGGCGGGGGTGGGCAGCAGCCCTGGGCAGTGGGGCTGACCGTGTCTGTCCCGAGGGGTGGGGCTCCAGAGTGGCTGAACCCCAGACCGTCCTCACCAGAAGGTCCTGTGGCGGCCACCGTTTGATGGAGGCCCCCTCAGCACAACTCCCAGAGCACACGCCGCCGCCGAGAGGCCCTCCCTGCTCCCCTCCTGCTCGACAGGGAGCTGCAGCCACCACCCAGCAGGAAAACTGAGTCAGGGCGTGGCATCAGACCACGAGGCGCTTGGGCCTGGTCAGAGCCGGCAGGAGGGAGCCACTCTCTGGGGGGGGGGGGCGGGCTGCAGGGGCCAGCGCCCAATCCCAGAGGTTGGCTGAGTCCTTGGCCAGTCTAGCTGCCAGGAGCCCTCACCATCCCTGCAGAAGGAGGCTGCGGGGAAAGGGGGTGCCGCTGGGCCCCTCTGAGGGCTTTGGGGGAAGCTGTGAGTGAGCGGGAGGCTGTGGTGGGCAGTGGTGCCCAGGAAGCCTGGAAGCTGTGACCTGACACTGGCCCTGCCGTTTCAGGGTGCCCAGTGGGGTGGTGGGGCACAGGAAGGGGGTCTGGCCCATCAGCCCAGTGCCGGGGCAGGCGCGCTCCACGGGCTCGAATGCCCAGACCGCAGAGGCACCCAGGACAGGACGAGCCGTCCACGGGGCACCGGAGCCTGGGCCGGTCCACACTCAGGGCAGGGGAGGGGGACGGCTGTCGGCGGCTAGGCCTGCCCCTCGGAGTGAGCAGGGCCTCGGAGACACACTGCCCCTCCCCCCAGGCCACGTGACCTGGGCTCCAGGGCCGGACCAACGTGGAGTGGCCGGACTGCGGCCGCCAAGTCCACACCCTGAGGTGGGGCCACAGGGAAGGGGGCTGGGAGGGAAGGGGCGTGGGGGCAGCGCGAAGGCTCAGGGGCAAACCCAGAACGGCCCCTCTCCAACTGCAGGCTCAGGTCAGGGCCTGAAGGTCACAGAGGCCTGAAGGTCACACGAGCCCGTCAGAGGCGCGGGCGCTGGGAGGCGCTGGGAGGTGCTGGCGGGAGTGGAGTGCACCCTGATGCCCGGGACCCGCGCCCAGGCCAGGCGTGGCAGCACCAGGCTCTGCTGCAGAGGCCGCCTCGGATGGGCTGGGGCCTCGCCCGCCCCCTACCCCAGGGCTCGTGTGGGTGGGGGGCTGCGTGCCCAGCGTCCCTGGATCTGGGGGAGGCTCGGGAAACCAAGCGCTGAGGTGTCGGTTGGCTGCTGACCTTGGGGTCAGGTCCTCATGCCTGTGTGTCCCCAACTTCTACCAAACACTTCCCTTTAAAAATCAGAAAACAGCGGGACAAGAGCGCCGAGGCCTGGAGCAAAGCCAAAAGCGAGAGGCAGCCGCACGCGGGTTCATGAAGTGACTTCATCTCCCGAGCAGCCCCAGCAGCCGCGCCCCGGCCTTCAGGGGCGGGGGACCCCAGCGGCCGCTGGCCTGAGGGCCGCCGGCGTGTCCCCCCTTTCTCCCGTGCTGCCCACCAGCCCCTCCGGCTGCCAAGGCCCCAGGGAAGGGCCTGGGGCTTGCGAGGGCCGCGGCCCGGGGGGCGCAGGCGCTGGTCCGCGCGGAGTCGGCGTCGGCGGTGGCCCGCGGCGTCCACCTGCCCTCGCCCCTCGCCCCGGCCAGCAGGGCCCCGCAGACGCGTCCTCCCGGGCCGCGGGCCCTCCTGGCACCGGCAGAGGCGCCTCCTGCTCGGGGTCGCGCCCCACGCAGGCCCCGCACCCAGACGCCGGCGGCCTCAGGGGCCACGAGGAACGCGGGGACCCCGTCCGGAGGCCCCGGCTCTGCTGACGGGGTCCCTGGCCCGGGGCGGGCGCAGGGGCGGGGCGGGCCCCGCGCGCCCCGACGCCCGCCCGGGGGGGTCGCGCCGCGCTTTGTCTCGGCCGCCGCCCACTTCCTGCGCGGCCGCCGGCCACGGCCACGGCGCCGGCCAAGGGGGTGAAGCTCCTGGGGCGTCCCGGAGCGCCCGCGCGCGCAGGGGCCGGGCCGCCCGAGCCTCGGGTGCCCCGGCCGGAGGAGCGCGCGCCCCGCGCCGGGCTGGGGCGCAGAGGCGGGGAGGCCCGGGGGCGCCGCTAGGCCGCGGCCGCGCCGCCCCGAAGTGGAGACCCGCGCCAGAGCCCGCCCGCAGGCCCGCCCCGGCGGAGAGGGCCGGCAGCCGCGCGCCCCCGACGCCCCCGCGGCTGCTGGACGCGGGCCCCGGGGGGCCGCGGGGGGCGGGGGAGGGGGAGGGCGGGGCGCGCCGCAGGGGCAGCCCCAGGGCGCGCGGGGCTCCCGCCGCTCCCGACGTCCCGGCCGGGCCGAACAAAGGCGGCTCGAGGCGGCGCAGCGCGCGGTCCGCCCCCGCCCGGCGAGGACAAAGGGCCCGCGCGCGGCCCGGCCCGCCCCGCCCGGCCCCGGCCCCCCGCGCCCCGGCCCCCCGGCCCGGCCCCGCCGCCCCGCCCCCCGCGCCCCCGGCCGGCCGGCCCGCGCTCACAGGATGGACGTGGGCGGCGCCACGGCGGGCACGGCCTCCAGCAGCAGATGCATGCAGCGCACCGTCGTGCGGAAGCACAGGCAGCGGCTCGGGCAGCCGGGGCCCGCGCGCGGGGTCGCCGCGGCCAGCGCCCCCCACGCGCAGCACAGCGCGAGCGCCAGCAGCCCGCGGGCCGGGCGGGCCGGGCGGGCGGGGCGCGCGGCCATGGCCGGGCGGCGGCGGACGAGCGGGCGGCGCGTCCCTGGCGGCTCCCGACTGCGCGGCCCGCGGCCCGGCCGGCCCAGCTGTGCGCGGGGGGCGGGGCGGGCGCCAGCTGTGCACATGCGCGCGGCCCCGCCCCGCGGCCCTCGCGGCGGGCGCCCCAGGCGCCGGGGAGGGGAGGCGGGCGCCGGCTCCGCCCGCGGGCCGGGGGTCTGGGCGCCCGCCCGGCCCGCCGCGGTGTGACGGGCTCGCGGGCCGTGAAACGCTTCGGGCCGCCGCCGGCCCGCGCAGCTCTGGGCGCGACCGACCGTGGAGCGGGACGCCCGCCCGAACCCCGAGGCCTGCCGGCCCCCCGCCCGCAGGGTCTGCCGGCCCCGCCCTGCCGTGAGCCCCAAGGAGGCCTCGCCCGCCCCTCGCCCGGCGGCGGGACTCGCCAGAGCCAGCTGTGAAGCCGGAGGGGCGCCCTGGGCACGAGGAGACCAGGCGCCAGGACGCGCCCCCTGGGGTTCCCTCCTGAGGCGCGAAGGCAGGAGCCCGCTGGTCCTCACTGCCCGCGTTTCATGGCGGCCCCAGTCCTGTTTGTCGCCCCAGGTGACCACTGAGTGCCAGCTTCAGACACAGCCCCGTCTGTCCAGACCCTCGCGTGTCCACCGTGTGTCCAGGCATGTGCAGAGCGGGCACCTGGAGGGGCCCAGGGCGGCTCCACCGGGGTGCCAGGCCCTTGCCTTGCCAGGGCAGCCCGCACGCACCCCGCACCTCTCGAGGGTCAGCCCCCACAGCCGGGCCTGCTCGGAGACCGCCACAGCCCAGGTGGCCACGTGGAGCCCGCAGAGCCCCCGGGGCCACCGCTCCCCCTCACGGCCCACACCCGGCAGTGCCCCGCAGAGCCCCAAACAGCCCTCTGCCCGAGCACCCTCTTCCTCTTGGAATCGCACATGCGAGTCTCCACACGGCACCACCCACGTGGGCAGGACGGCTGCTGGAAACTGGCCCGTCCTCACCCCAAACCTCCTGTGATTCAGGCCTTTTGATCCTCGCTCCCATCAACCCTGGCCGGGCTGCCCCAGCCCTTCCTCCGGGGACCCCAGCGAGGGCCACCTCTCGCCCAGCACCTGCCACCTCCCGTCCAGCACCTGCCACCGCCACCCCAGAGGGGCGCCCTGAGCGTCGGACACTGCTCTTCAGACCCTGGGGTTCCATTGCAGCCGCTCAGCACACGTGGGGTGGTGCCGGGCACAGCAGAGTCCAGCAAAGGGTTGGTCACTGAGTCCAGCGGAGGGATGGCTGCCCCAAGATGCACCTCACCCCTCAGCTTAAGGGCAAAGGTGAAACCGAGCCTCTCCTGAGAGGGTCACCCCCTCCAGACAAGGGCACCTGCTCCTGCTGCCACCCCCGCGTGCACCGCGCTCTGGAGGCCCTGAAGCCCAGCCTGGTGAGTCCTCGCTGGCCGCGCCCTCGGATGACAGAGTCCAGATTCCTGCTGCCGGCCTGCGGGGCAGCCTCTCCCGGGGATTCCCCTCATCTAACCACTTGCCCAGACCCTCCCTCTGTCCCGCCAACCCCCTGCAGCGGGACTGTGCTGGCCGGTGTCCTGCACCCGCCTGCTCACCGCACAAAGGGCTTGCAGGTCAGTGAACGCTGGGTGGCCTCGGCCATCCTCCGGGGCTCTCCCGCCCGGCCTTCTCAGAGACCGCCACTGCCCAGGTGGCCACGTGGAACCCACAGAGTTCCACGGGGAACCCTCACTGCCCACGCCTGGCAGTGCCCCCGCGGAGCCCCAAACAGGCCTCTGCCCGAGAGTCCTCTTCCTTCCCGGGCTCCACCCCCGCGGCTGCTGGCCTCCGGCACAGGCCTCTGCTTTCCTCTCGCATGCTGTGGAGGCTGCTCGGGTTCCGTCCGTGTCTCAGGTCTCAGCTGTCCTTCCACCATGCCCGCGCCCGGCCCCAGGAGGCCACTTCCTGCCCGCGCTCGCTGGGGCCGGTTCCGCCCCCTTCCGCCGCCTGTTGGTCGCCATTTTGTTCTTAGAGTCTACGAGTTTGTTGGTTTTATTTCTTTATCTTCCGCGTCTGAGTGAAACACGGAGGGTCCCTCTCTGGTATCTCCCGCAGCAGAACCTCTCCAGGTCAGGCATGCTGTGGCTGGAGGGACCCGCTGCCCCCGGCGTCGGCACACACCGCACCCCCCTCCACGCCGAAGGGGTCTCGGCCAAGGGCTACACCCCACACGCCAAGCCTGGCCCTGAGCGGGGCCCCCAGAGGGAGTGGGGGACGCACGGGGTGGTGGTTCTGCTGGGAGGGCACCTGGAGGAGACCGGCGGGGGGCAGGCGAGGAGGCAGCGGCAATGACACCTGGAAGGGGCATAGGGGAGGGGGCCGCGTCTGGTCGTTGGGCGGCCACTTCCTGGAGGCAGGACCCGCCTCCCCCGTCCTGCAGAGCTGTAGGGTAAAGAAAATATCAGGCTTTTCTGCCCTCCCGCCATCAGGATAGATGACGGATCCTTGTCCTGAATGCATGCCTGATGGCGGCACCTGGAGTAGGGTGTGGGCATAGGTAGATGGGATTCAGCTGAGCTAAGACTGTGCTTTTAAGGGCGGCGTCACGGGGACGCCAGCAGCAGCAGTAGAAGCTGAGAAAGAAGCCGAAGAGAAGCAAAGCAGCAGTAGCACAGAACGTCAGAGAGCCCAGATAAAGTGAGGACTTGCTGGGGGCTGGGAGGCCTGCCAGCCTCCCAGCCCCCAGCCAGCACCCCTGCCTGCCATATGCCTGGTGAACCCCAATAAAAAACCTGCAAAACCACTGAGGACTCTGACTCCTCCTTTACCCGGTCTGCATGGGATCAGAAAACCTGCACTGTGGCCAGTCCTGCCCTTACAAGAGCCAAGCCAGCAGGCGCCTAGATCTGTGGCCACCTTTCGGGCCTCAGTGGCCCACTTTGGCCAGCCCCGTTGGGTCGGGCATTGCCCGAAGGGGAGGGATGATTTGGGGAATTTTGTTGGGAAACTATCATTAGAAGCTCGGCTCCCTCTCTCTGCACGCCCAGTCTGGCAGAGCCTTCACCCCGCGTCTACCTCGCTGTGTTCATGGTGGCTGAGCCCCTCAGAGTGCGCGCCCCTGAGCAGGTCGGGCCAGCCCCGGGCCATGCACTAAGGCTTTTGCAGGTGACATGACTCGTTCTTTTCACAGCCGAGTGGTACTCTACTGTGTGCACCCCACTCCACCACCAGCACCACGGCCTCTCGGGCTGCCCCAGCTGGGCTACATGAACTGTGTGTGCAGATATTACGTTTCTGGTCCCCAGAAGACCCAACGGAGGGGTCAGCATCCTTGTTTTGCAGATGAAAACATGAGCAAATGCTTAGAAGTTTCAAGTAACTTGCCCAAAGACTTGTAGCTAGTGGGGGGGGGGTGTGTGGGAGAAATGAAAACCTGTGGGGAGTGCTCTCCGTGTGCTAGGCGGCCGCGGGCCTGGGCCTCAGCCTCTGGGGTCTGCCTCGTGGGCTGCCACCCCGCAGGAGACTCTCTGGGGCCCAGGCGCCCTGTGCTTGGGGCTCTGCCCCTGAGCTCAAAGGTTCAGGGCTTAGGCCGCAGACCACGCTGGATCCTGGGGCCAGCTTCTCCCCCACTGCTGTGCCTACTCCCCAGGGGCCCCCGGCCATCAGTGCCCTGCTTTGGGGACCCGGCTGAAAAATGGACTGTCCTGAGAGCTCGCGAGCTCCCCGAGGTTGCCCAGCGGAGTCCACCCTGCGGCACCTCCTTGGCTCAGCGGCTCTGCCTGCCCTTCAGCCCTCACTTGCCGCCAGCCCCGGGGAAGGGGTGGCAGCCCCTCAGCCCTGCAGCCAGAGACCCTCTCCCTCTTCTGGGCCTCAGTTTCCAGTTCCCAACACGAGGGGGCCGGCCCCACTCAAGATGGCTGGGTGAGTGAGGGTGTGGGGCGCCCCACGCCAACTGGTGGACGTGTGAAACGTAAGCCTGGCTGCGCCTGCCGCCCCCACTAGCAGCAAGAGAGCGGCGGCCCTGGCACACCTGCCGCCCGCCAGCAGACTCGGCCCTACCATGGGGAAGCGGCCTCGGCTGGGAGCCACACAGGCTTTGACCAGCGTTGGCCTGGGGCGCTGCAGCCTAGGGCGCTGCAGGGCCTTCTCCAGAGGCATGAGGTGGCAGCTGCCAGCCTCCCACAGCGCCGGCGTCTCTGGGTCCAGACGGCTCAGAGCTGCCTCTGCAGTGGAGAGGGGCCTGGGCAGACCTCGGGGCTGCGGAGGAAGAGGCCCCAGTGCCAGCAGCTGTCGGCCTGCCCGTGCGAGCAAACCCAGACTCGTCTTCAATGAGACTCCACACAGGACGCGCCAGGCCGCTCCGGTGGGATCCCCGCGGGGCCCGTGGAGGGCTGCCTGCACCCCGAGACATTCCCAATGAGCAGGGAAGCTCCATAGGCCATTCCTAGACAATGAGTCAGTCCCTGGAGTCTGGCTGCATCTGGGTAGCCTCAGGCACAGCTCATCCTGAGCCCTCCCGGACAGCGGCAGGGCCCTCAGCCCCCCTGGAGCGAAGACTGGGCAGCTAGGCAGCACTGGGCAGGACAGGGCCCTCCGGGTACCGTTCCTGGGGTGGCTGCAGCAGAGCCATGACCAGGTGGCCTAAAGCCAGGAGCCACCCTCGGGTTCCGGACTGAGTCTGAGACTGCCTTGCGGGCTTCTTGGGGGCCAGCAGGACTGCCCGGCCATCTCCCGCCAGGGCCGTGGGCCTGCCAGTCCTCAGCTCGCTGCCCGCGCGGGCCTTCCTCCTCACAAGGCCAGGCTGGCCCAGACCCATCCCTGGACTGCCCCTGCCCCGCCAGGGACGTGCCTTGGCCCTTGGCCCAAGCAGGCTGTCCTGAGCTGGTGGGCACAGAGGCCTCGGCAGGACCTGCTCGCGCTGCAGGGAGAGGGGCTGCCTAAAGGCTGCCCCTGGCCAGTGCCTGTGTGGCAGGCTGGAACCAAAGCTCATCCCAGCCTCCATCGGGTCCGGT